AATGCCATTCTGACCTCTTTGAATACATGGATTTTATTTTAGTTGCCTTTTCTTTCTCTTCTATGCAGTATCCCCTCTCCTCCCACAACACATCTCAGGACTTGTCAGATTGATCTTCTTCATTTTGTGCTGGAGGACTCAGGTCCTTCAGGTCTCACTTGCTGACCGAAAGCTCAGTGCTGATTAATCTTTAACAGAGGAAGCTTTTCTCCCAGGTGTTTCTCAACCACATGAGTTAAAGTGAGTGCACAGGACAAATAACAGAAGAAACACTGAGCTTAACAGAACTTGGCTGTTTCACAGCTGATGAAGTTTTACTGCCATTATCTCCAGTGACATTATTTCACTAGTTCTCCCTGTCTCCAGAGTATTCCAGCGGGAAAAAAATGAATAGGTGAGGCCTGAACAAAAGTACTCCAACCCAATCTATTTTTCTTTTGCAGGTCACCTTTAATCTCCTCCAGGGTGAAAATTCCTTTTCTTTTCTCATACTTATTCTCAGTTTTGTTCTTACTGTATTTCTTTTACATCTTTTGTTCTTCCACCATGTTCTGCTTTGTTTGCGCTGCTGGCAGTGGAATTGATTTAAAAATGTCCAGCCTTTGAAACAAGTGATCTCTAGATGAAATTGCTCCCAAGGGCTCCTAGCAGCTGCAGGGGCAAGTGGCATAAATGTAGATTTAAGACCAGTGGGTGAAGGCAACAGTAAATAAAAGTGATAGCTGTGGAAAGTATTGGGCAGGTTTCTGGGGGAAGGATGTCTCAAAGAAGCTGTGTGTCCCAGGAGCATGCCTGGCAGCCTGCGAAAAACTATAAATGTGTGGGGCAAGACCTCTCCCTATGCCATAGGACTGGCTTGTCTCACCTTGACGGGGAGCAATTGCACAAGGTGCCCAGGACTGGGAGGAGCCCGGGTTCTGGCAGCTTTCCGGGAGAGAAGAGGCCAGTGAGGCTGGGAGGTGATTAAGTTACTGGGTATTAACAGCCTGGCCACCAGTGAGGAAGCAACCCTAGACCCCACCAGAGGAGTTTTCAACAGGCCACCTGGGTTGTGAGTCCTGGGTAGCACCTGTGAGTGGAAGTTGGGAGGACTGAGCACAGGAATTGTCCTGCCTTACCTACTCTGATCTTACACTTTTCCCCTGTCTATACCCTACTGACCACTGTCTGGGGGAGGATGGCTCGAGTGGCAGAAATCAGACCAGACCTGAGCTCTCAGCCTGCTCGGGGAGGAAGGAGGCAAGCCAGCTTGGCCCCGCTGCGGGCTGGCAGGATCGCTGAGGTTGCTGAGGAGGAGGCTGTGCCTTAGACTGGGCTCAAAAAAGCAATGCCTGCCAGACCCGCTGTGCTGGCCAGCTTTGCTTCCCTTTGGAGGTGGTGGGCTTGGTGGGCTTAGTCAGAGCCAGGCAGCCTCACAGCTAGTAGCAGCTCTTCTCATTGAGCACAGCCCTATTCCTCTTTGCAAATTATCCTCAAGTAATTATACTTCTGCTTATTTTACAATGATTGTGCTAATGATTTTTGCAAATGAATTTTAAACCAAGAGATGGCTAGCCTGATTATTTGGCTGCTTTTGCTGCTGTCATCACATCCAATAGCTGTTATTCAGAAAACACTCTTTGCACTTGTGTTTACTCACCCAGATTATATGGTGGGGTTAGGCTCTTTTGCTGGATATCTCCCAAGCCACCGAAAGCTTTGGAGGTGGCAGCCCAAACGCTTCAAATGTGAATACTCAAGCCAGCAAGTATTTGTCTGAGTATCTGCCAAGCTCCCATTTTTTGGGAACAGGCTGGTGAATCAAAATTTAGTCTCATGAATGTTTATGGACAACAACCAAGAGAACGGCTCCAAATCCCACCCTTCCAAACAAATTCCGCTTCTCTCCTAAGGCATGTTTCCAAATTCATTTGGGCTTACCAGTCCGTGTCTAGTTCTAGCCAAGTATGGAATATCCATGTAACTCATTTATTTTCTCGATCCCACTTTCCTTTCTTCTGGGAAAGGAAGGGATCTCTCAGACTGGTGCTGAGAGACATTCTTTCTCCCCAGTGCCTGTGATACTACCTGCTCCAGCCTCTAACTTGCACAGCTATTATACAGAAAACACTTGTTGCTTTCACATTCAGCTTTTATGCCTTCAGTGGAAATGGCTGATTCCTGGCCTGTTTTCTTTCCAGACCAGCAGTGCATGAGGTGGGGAGATGGTTTGCTGGGCTTCCAGTGAAAGGAGAGAATGTCTTTGCCTATGGCAACTGGTGTTTCCAGCTGACCTGCTGCAGTTCTCAGGTGTTCCTCAGCCAGGACTGTGTGGAGCCATGAAAACACATATACCAGGCTGGTTCCCTCAGGCCTGAGATCTGCACCTGCCCTGCAAGCAAACTGTTACCATCTCTCTCTGTCTTTTAATTTTAGGAGGTGTCACATCAGCAATGGGGCTTGAGGAGAGATTGAAGACCGAGAGGGAACAGTGATGGACAGGCTAATGCCAAACATGGCATTCTCAGGAAAGGGTGAGTTATGATATCTCGTTAGCTGAAGTTTCATTCCTTTTGACAAAAGGAGGCCAGAGGCTTTGCTGATGGCTCCCCATTGAAACTACCATCTGTAGGTACCTGTTCTAATTCGGTTTGTTTGGCTGAAGTAAATCTGACCTGGTAATGTGGCATTACATGCAAAAAGCCCTTTATGGGCTCGGGCCCTGCGGTGGCTGCAAATCACACCTGGCAGATGAGGGAGAGCTGAGCTTCCTACATGGTCCAGCACATCCAGGGCTGTGCCCACGCATTCCCCAGGAGGTGGGGAAACACACCTCCACCAGTCCCACTTTCACCAAGAGCTGTGAAGAAGCTCTCCAAAACACTGCAAAACTATCTTGGCTCACCAGGAAGGGACTTGATCTTGCTCCTGCGGGACTCAGCTGGCATCAATTCCAGCAGAGCTCCATGGCGTGACGGGCGATAATGATTTCCCTGTTCTGCACTACACGCTCCCTGTCCTTGCAGGTCTGGCCAGTGCAGGCTGCGCTCACGTGCAGAAATGCAGAATGGGTTCTCTAGGGAGCGAGGGCAGCATGACATTTTCACTGACTGTTTTTTTATCCTAGACAAGAGTCTATAGGAAAGATTTCTGAGACAGATATAGTTTACCTCTCTTTTAACTTTATTAGCTCTTAAATAAGATGCTGTCAAGCTCACAGAGTGGCGTGGGGAACACAGGCTCCCTGGCCAAGGAGAGGGATCAGGGTGCTCTGTAAGACCCCTGGCTTGCTCGCAGAAGGGACTCCTGCTCACAGCATTTGCTTCAGCTCAGAGATGATGTCTTTTTGTCAAGATGCCTCCAGCTTCCATGTGATCCTCCCACTCAGGTCTCAAACCCTCCTGGGTTTGCCCAGCAAAAATAATTTTCTTTCTTCATTTTCCTTCTTGCCAGCCTTGCCAGCCCTCCTGGCACCACTGTCTGTCTTCTTCAATGTCTGAAATAACCTGGTGGGGGTCTTACAGCCTCCTCCATGCTGCTCTAGAGCCTGCTTAGCCTGAAACATGATCTTTAAACCCAGTCCATTATCAGGATATTAGCACAGATGTAGATGGAACCACAAGCGGCAACCTCAACAAAGACGTAAGGCAGCATGTTTTCCTTCCCATCCGTATGGGTTAAGGGCTTTGGCAGATGAGCTGCCTTATGTTTAGCTGTGAGGTGTTGTGGGCGTGATTGCCTGCTCTGAGGAGACGAGGGGGACCTTTAAAGAAGGTGAGTTTTGTTAATGAGGCATAAAATGTGTGGGATTGCTGGTGTACCCTCAGCCCACCTGAGCACCTGGGGAGCTGGTGTGGGGTCATGGCTGGGATGAAGCAAGCCCTTGTGTTCCAGCTGCAGCGTATGGGGCAGAATCCAGGTCACTGGCTGCATTGTCTCTGCAGCACTGAAAACCGCTAAGTATACTTTTGTCACTAATTTAAGCATACCTAGCTCTGCTTTCACACAAAGAGAGGATCTGGTAAGTGTCATTTAGGTGTCATTTTTGCCGGCGATCTCTGGGCAGAATTATACTTTAATGCACTTGAGCTCGTTCCCCCGCACCTCTGAAAATGCTGCTGCTGACAAGGTGATGCTCTCAGAGCCAACAGCTCCCGCACACTGCCTTTGAGAGAGACTTCTCCATGCTCCCAGTGGATGCACGTTGTTTTGAACCACAGAAAGAAAAAGGGAAATAAAGACTTCACTCAATGCCTTTTAGAGCAAATGACAGGATTTACATGCTAAGCAACCAGTTGTTCGTACATGGATCCTTTCCTTGGCTGGTGGCTTGCTCCTGACACTTCAAACGAGGATTCTTCTTCCTCTGCCTTCCCCCTCCACCCCAAAAGCCTGACCCACAGCCACTAGTGCACCTGACCAGTGACGCTGTGGTGTCCTTTGGGATGATTCCTCCTGAGCCCTGCCTGCCCTCTTCCCCCTTCACAGGGCTGCACTGCTGCGAGCCTGGCCCTGTGCAAGGGCTGTGTCAGGCAGGGCTGTGCAAAAGCAGGAGAGGCTCATGGACAGAGACTCAACCTCCCTGCCATGCATGGCGTGCCAGACCTCTGCACCCTCTGCGTGGCTGCAGCCAGCCCTGCTGGCGGAGAAGATGGAGACTGCAAACATGGAGGGCAAGGGGTGTGCACGATGCCTTTAGCGTGGCCTCGTGTGTACTGCTGCAGCCACCCTTGCAGAAACTGCTGCAGCAACATGGGTGCAACCAACACCATGCAACCCATTCACTTGCTGCCTCCCCCATTTTTTGGCACCAGGCCCTCTGCCCGCGCTCCTGCCCTCCTTCCTGTCCATGCCCTTGGAACCTCTTCTCTCCCAGCTATGTGTGTTTTTCCAGTGTCTCCGGGTACCCCTCCCACCCCACAGCCGTGACATGCAGGATGTTGATTTGACTGGACGTGAGCTCAAAGCTCATTAAGGGCTCGTCAATACGGGCAATGAGGAGCTGCGTGGGGTGAGGCAGGGGGAGAGGAGCCCCGTGGCAGGAGGGGTTCATAGCTCCCCTCTGCGTGCAGGAGCAGGTCAGTATGTGTCTCCCCGAGCTGGTGTCTCCCTGAGCAGCTCTGTGCACCCCAAGGACTCGCAACTGGCCAGCACTGTGAGGTAGGTGCATCCACTGGGACAGCAGTGTCTGGTCTTGGGGACGTGAGTGCTGGGACCAGAGAAGGGAGGATTGCAGCAGCGGTGGGGAAGAGCCGCCTGCCTGCATGAGCATCGCTGGGGAAGGGCTGTTGCAAGTGCTGAGCTCTCCTCCATCCACGCTGGGCTGGTGGTGGGGCTGAGGGGCTCAGCACCCTGAGGACAAGGCAGGATGAAGGATGGTTTCTGCCTCCCAAAAGGTGCTGGAGCAGTGAGCAAATGGGGACAGACCGATGGGTTCAGAGCAGGACCCAAAAGTGGTATTTGGGGCCTGAAACGTGGAAAGTTTGTCAGTGGCTGTGGACTGGGGGGAGATGTAGTGAGCTAAAATGATGGCTCAGTAAAGATGTTGTAACAGCACTTAGGTGAAAGCCAGGGCGCGTTACCCTGGGGAGGGTCTCTGGTGGGTAGGGCTCAGGGGATGGGCTAGGTGATATGCATAGAAGAGGGACTGGTTCAGTTGCCCCTCCCTGGGGCTGGGACAGCCCATCCTGGCCTTGTGCACTGCAGTCCCAAGGATCAACCTGAACCACAGCATTTCAGGCTCTTGGAACCCCTTTGCAGAGGTCCTGCAAGCTCTGGCTGTCTCTGACAGTGGAGTTGAGCTTCCTTCCCTGTACAGCTGCCGGGGTGTTGCAGAGGGCTATGTCTGTGCCCTTCCTTCCCATCTATCTCCAAGAGACTCTGACCCTGAAGGAGGTGCCTCATACCCTAGGTGAAGCCCTCCCCATCCCTCTGTCTCCATGGCGCTGCAGAACTGACCAAACTCATCCACACCCTCCCTCCCTCCCCTCCTACCTTCTCCCTGCTCCCCACCTCCTGTGAGTGCTGTTTGGAGGAAGCCACAGCCACAGCCTGGCTACCAAAGGCTCCCCAGTTTGATGGTGACCTCCCTGTGATTCTCCTAGTGCCTGGTGGAGACCTCCAGCGTACTTACTTTCAGTTCTTCTCCCTCCAAGAGAAGCTCTGCGACAGTTTGGGATTTTGTAGGGTGAGGAGAAGGAAGATCTGAGTGTTAAAGTAGTAGAGATAATAATGCCCAGCTAGTTGCAGGATGATCCTAGACGGTGGGGGATAGTGCCCTCACTGGGTAATGAGCACATTTTCCGGGCTATTTTGAGGAAAACCTCAGCCAAGGGGCTACCAGATAACAATGCTCATGCGTGGTTCCTGCAGAGGGAGATGGCTCTGCCGTTCTCTATTTTCTACCCCAAAAAAGCATATGAACAAAATGGAGCCTTGCAGCAGCCTCAGAGCTCTGGGGTATGATTATCTCTCTGGTTTCGAGGAGAAGGAGAACAAAGAGTTTGGCATCTGAAAGTGGGACACAGATTTCCTCTCTGACTTGGCTGTGCTGCAGCAGGAAAGCAGTGCTGTGCTCTGCGTGGTGAGGCTCTGGTCTTTCTTGGAGCTGAATGTGCATGCTGGAGTGGCACCGGGCAGTTTCACTGGTGCCACGTTTTGAATGAGCTCTTGGTGACTTGATTCAGTGCTCAGTAGCTGCTGTGACCCTGCCCAGGAGGAGCAGGGGGAAGGTCTGCGTTTTGTCTCCTCCTTCTCCCATCCATCTTTCCCTTTGTGCTTCCAGCTGAACACGGTAGCAGAGATTTTTGAGGCAGTGCAGGGTCTTTACCTGCTCATCTTATTCCAAGAGCAGCAGGTACTGGCCAGTGTGGAGCAGGATGGACTCATCTGTGCCCTGTGGATCACATCCCCAGCTGCGAGCTATTCGGCCACAGGGGACACCAGTGGCCAGTCCTTTGCTCCTCTGCTGTGCAAGGTGAGGACAAAATGCTCCCCTGCCATACTGGACACTTCAGGGCAGTCTCTGGATCACTCTCACTCTTGTTTCTGCTCTTTCCTTGTCATTTTTTTTTTTTCCCCTTTATTCACTTTTTCATTATTAAATTGTGGCAACAAAGTCCAAGGTGTCTTTCTCAGGTGAAGGTCATCACTTTTCATTGCAAGATCATTTTCACCCAATTTGTTCCGTTCAACAATTTCATAAAAAAACAAGAAAAAACTAAACAAAAACCCTACCAAAATGTATGAAGCCCAGTACAGCAAATAACCACTGACATTACTTGCAACATCTCTGGAAGTGCATCAAATCCAGTTCTATGTGTATGAAGTTATTATTTCCCCCTCATCACGCATTGCACAGCCATGCCTTTTGCACAGTACTTGTGACACCCAGTGAGATGGGGAAATTTACCCCTGTAAAGGCCACGATCTCACTGGGGATGTTGCTGCAGCTCAGTTTGAACTAAAATCTTAGCTCAGAGGCACAGTTTTGGTAAGGTAGCGGCTGGCAGGAGCAGTAACTCATGCTGCATGGGCTGAGCTGTGACACTGCAGCCTGTCTGGGGGAAAAAGTGAAGGTGCCAGCGGGGATGCCCGCCTGCACTGTGGTGACAGTGCCTGGAAACCATGCTGGACTGTAATGAAAGGGAACAGGAGGTTTAAGGCAAGTGAGAAATTCCAGCTGAAATTGCCCTCTGTGCTTGTTTTTAGGCACCTCTGCTCCAGTGATGTTCTCGCTGAAGTCACTGGAAAGTTTTTTCCATTAGTCTTCCTGGAGTGGGAATGGCCCTTAGCAAGGAACAAGGCAGGCAGAGGAGGCCAATGAATGTTATTCCTGGATTGTGTTTACAAAAATTGTGGAGAAATGCATGCAAAATATCAGCTTCTGTCCTAGAGAAGGAACAGGGATTTGTTTGGGATTTTTCTTTTTTTTTTGCTCAGCAGAACTAATGATACCTGGTTTTCTCTTTATAATGTCCTTTGTCCTTCCACCTCTCATGACAGGTCCCTTATGGCAGTGCTTACTGTCTCTCTGGTCCCTCACACCACCCCATCCTCAGTGCTGCCTGTCTCCCACATCTCCAGGCTGCCCTCCCAGGAGCTGCCTCCCTCCTCCCTGCCCACTGCACGCTGGCTGCCTGGTGTGTGATGCACAACAGGGCACTCCTGGGGTCACCCCACAGCCTTTCCTTGGGAGAAGCACTAACCTGAGTCGCTTTCCTCTCTCCATTCCCTACTTCTTGAGGAACTTGATGTCTTTGAGGGCTGTGCTCCTTTTTTCAACTATGGGTGAAACTCGCCAGTGAGCTCAAAAAGTAACTGGGGTTGGGAGCAGACAGATGGGTCTTTGTACAAGAAAGCTGGGCTAAAAATGTCTGCATTGCTTCAGGCAGGGCAAAAGAATAATGAAGCAAAATTATATAAACTACCAATATTGTGAAGCTGGCATCCCAGCGTGCCAGCCTGCACTGTGTAAGAAGAGGAAAACGTTTCTTAATTTAATCAGCACATTTAAAATGGGCAGAAATAGGCTTTTAATCTTTTTAATGCGGTAGTTTTTTCTGAGGAGGATGGAGGCAGGGATGCCTTTAAGCCACTTGCCTGTCTTTCCCAGCCTGGAAGGCGGCGGGGGGCTCAGGGAGCTGCCTGCAGCCAGCTCGGGGGCTGCTGCGGTGGCTCGGGCTGGGTCCGGACAGGCGGTGGGAGCTGAGGAAGAGCCCTGATGGCTCTCTGCTCCCTGGGGAAGCTTCTCAGGTGCCAGGATGAGGTTTAAATGAGGGCACTGAAACGGCTCAGGGGCTGCACCGTTCAAAAAAAAAAAACACCGACCCCGCTGCTTTCCTTAGAGGCAATATGAGGCAGCCCCGGACACAGAGGTGAGAGCAGCAGTGGTGGGTCTGCAGCTGGGAGTAGGATCTGGCCCTTCTTCCCCCGGCAGGATGGGGACCCAGAGGAGATTCAAGCGGGCATCCAAAGCCAGGGAGGGCACTGCAATAGCTGACCTGATTCCTCCTGCATGTGTAATGCAAAACTCAAGGTGCTGCTTGGCAAAGTGACCGTGCAGCGGGCTGCAGCCAGCGCCAGCAGCGCGGCAGTTCTTCACCGTTTTTTTTTTTCAGGGCTGTGAGGGACTGTCACAGCCCTCCCGGGATTGCTGCTGCGAGATGCGAGATGTATTCTGGCCTCATGCGGGTGTACTGGTTGTTTAATGGCTTACAGAACACAGCTCATGCCCTCTTTGCCCCCTCTGCTCGTCTGGGCAGGGTTGTGGTGTGGTGCCAACCTCACCTGCCACGTTATCGGGAGCGATGCAACTCACCCAGGGCTGCTGGTGGAGGAGGGAGGTTGGGCAACCGCTGCAGGTCAGACCTGGACATCAACAGCCCAAATCTCATGCAGGAGGGTGGAAAGTGGGGTGGAGATGAAGGCCACCCAGCAGCTCCATCACCCAGGTGAGTGGATCTACTTTCTTCTCACGTCCTCTGTGAGCACTGATTTCTTCTGTGCCCAAGCAGCCGCCTCTCTTCAGGGGCAGGGAGATGAAAGGTTGGGTGGCTGCAGTGGCTGCTTCTTGGGCAGCACGTGGAGAGGGCTGTGAAACATGAGACAGCCCTGAGCAGGCTTCATGTGGGTCTGGCACCCCATCAGCATCCTCAGGCTCCCACGGGGGAGCTCTTCCCCAGACCCTCCAGCTTTCATGGATGAGGGAAGCTCAAGCATATGCTGCTCCTGCAGCGAGCAGAAAATCAGCCAGGAGTCTGCTGTGCCCTGATCAGCTGGTCACGGCTCTAAACAAGATACAAGAGTCTTGGGGGTTACTTAGCTGTCATTAAAATGGTGTGGACGGAAGGAAAAGTCTAATTGACTGAACAACAGCCTGCGCCGTGTAATTAAACTAATTGTGGCTGTACCTGCATGGGTCAGAAGTGATTTGTGAGGTTGTTAAAGCACTGACAAATAAGAGGTGGAGAGGTGTGAAAGTATTTCTCACATGCGTTTCCACAGATAATTTTGCTGTTTCGTTTCAGGCAGTTTTATGCCCTTGAAATTTTTGGTTTCTGTCAAATTTGAGGAGACTGTTAATATTTCACACTGAAGCAGGGGAAAGCAAAAAGGTCACCGTTGTTAGCAGTTTCAGGCAGCAGCATTTCAAGTGGAGGTAATACTTTTTCAGGGCTATTTTCTTATTTGAAGTGAAATTCCTCAAAAAAAGGAGGGGAAAGACTGTTTTCCAGAATGTGTTTCAGCCTGGCTCTGTACCTGCTGGAGACCATACGATTGTTTTTATTGACTTGAGCAGCAGAAAACCAGACCTTCTGTACCACTCAGGTCACTACTTACTGTCTGGGATTTATGACCCTGGCTTTTAGTGATTGTTTTAAAAGCCTTGGCTTCAGAATATGATGTATTTAGAAGAAGCCAAATGAGAAACCTGCTGTAGTGTCATGTCTAAACTCTTTGACCTTGTTTTCAAGTCCTTGAGAAGCAGAGCCCACCTCCAGCTTGTAGCTCTGCTTTTATTGATTACCATTTTGAGTCTTTCAGGCGTTTTGCTGTGCCCAAAGCACCATGTGCTTTTCAGAATGAATAATGTGACATGACAGAGAGCTGCTGAACCGACTCTGCTCTCTCTGGGCTGTCAGCACAGGGCAGAGCCCTCCGCTCGTGCTTGAGGAGACCCGTGTGGATAAGTAGAGGGGCTGGTGCATTTTGTCTCAGTAGGACCACTTGTCCTGCGTGTGAACTGATGTCTAAACATAGGAGTCAAACGCTTAGCCCGGAGCAACTGATGGCTGTATTTTTCCTGGTCAGAGCTGCATGTCTGGGGAAGGACACGGCGTGACTGGGCTGCGGGACATGCATGAGCCCTTCTGCCCTAATCATCCATCACTGTAGAGGGCAGGACAGCAGGTGGGATGAACCTTCAGTGGGTCCTCCTAACTGTTTTTCTATTTCTTGAGTGTGGTGCAACCTCTATAAATCTAGTTTATTCTTTATGAGCTGGAGATGAAGGACCTCACTTCTCAGGTGAGAATAAACTGCCAGTATGATGTGCTGCTCCTCTATTGTCCTACCCCAAGTGTATGATATATGAGGTGTGATCATGTAGCTGCAGTATCACTCCAAAACTGTGGCAGCAAGAACAGGGGAAAGAGCACAGGGAGAGCAGGATATACACCTACTTTTTTAAGATAGCAGCTTACCTACTGGTTTTTGTCTCAGAAGAAAAAGTGAGTCAAAATGGCTTCTGCTGAGCCTAATTTGTTATGTCTCCAGGCATAGCTAATTATTCTGACTTAGCCCAGCTCTGAAGTCTTCCCAGGGGTTTTGGTGCTATTTCTTCTGTTTTGATTTATAAATTGTCTTTATTTTACTTTCCTCCTACATGTTCTGTATAATCTTTTTGCTCCCTGCCTTACTGAGGAGCCAGGAGCTGGTGTGACAGTGCTATCACAAGGTGTAGGACATAAAGGGGACCTGTTCACCACAGCCTTTGCTTTGGGTGTCCAGCAATGCTTCCTTCTGGTGTCTGCCTCATGGGCTATGTGAAATGGTCTCTTCTCCCCAGAAGGATTTTTTTGTGCTGCCACTTCTGGGCTTACCTGCAACCGTCTTTGGGCTAGAGGAATTGTGAGGTTCAGGGCTGGCTCCATAGCTCAGAGGGCTTTGGTAACAGCCTTCATCCCACAGCAAGGAGTTTTCTGGCTTCTCCATTGACATACCAGAATGGATTACAGTTATTTTCTCGATTAGCCAATCCCTTCACAGTTGTCACAGTTTTTCAAATTCTGTGGGGTAAAGAAATCCATCTGCTGTAATCATGGAATGTCAATTGAAGTAAGCAGGAACTGATACTGCCATTGAGCCTGGGCTTGGGACACCATCTCTCTTCAGGCCGCTTTAGAAACACTAGTTAATGAGTCCCCCAGGCATCCCATGGGGCAAATGGGTACTGTTTGCTTAGGAGACAAGACTGCCAAGAGTGAGCAGCTCAAGCAAGGCCAGCTTTAACCACTAGAGCATGCCACTTCATAGCATTGCTTTGTTTCCTGATATACCCACTTGGTTGTTTTTTGTGTTTTTTTTTTTTTTTTGTTTGTTTTTTTGTTTTGTTTTGTTTTTTTTTGGTTTGGTTTTTTGTTTGTTTTTTTTTTTTGTTTGTTTGTTTGTTTTTTGTTTTTTGGGTTTTTTCCAAAAATATGTGCATCTGGGAATGTTTTTGTCAACAGGCTCCTCTGGGAGATTGTAGCACTGGTCACCCTTACAGTCCCTGGTGGAGCCTTAATTTTGGCTCTGTGTAAAATGGGTTGCGAACTGGGTGTGAGCCAATACCATACCAGTCCCAGCCCCTGTCTTCTGCACTGGCTGGGGGCAGATGCTGAGAGGAGAGGATGAAATCAGGAAAAGTAGGGAGTGATATTCCTTGGAAGAGTCTCTCAACCTGCAACAACTTGCAGCTCAGGGATTTCCTGAACCACAGTGCTGGCTCCTGGTGGATTTTCTTTCCATTATTTTTCTTCTTAATTTCCTTTTTGAAGTCATGTGAACTCTTGGCATCCAGCATGTTCTGGCGTGGGGAATCTCACTTCATAGCTGTGCATTTGTGTGGAGTATCACCTTTTGCTCTTTTTAAACCTACCATCTGCTGTCTGTATTTAATTCCCCACAGTTCTTGTGTCAGACATGGTGAATACTCATATTCTATAGCACTGATATGTTTATAAGCCCCTGTCAGTCACCTTTTCCACAGGACGATGGATCCTAGTTCATTTAGTCTTTCCTCACATGGAAGATGTTCCACACTTCTGAGCATCCGTTTGGCTCTCCATGCCTTTTTCTGACCTTGCAATAGCTTCTGTAAAGGGAAGAGAGAACCACACTCACTTTTCAAGGTGTGAGTGAAATATTGTTTTAGACACCGGTGTAATAACATAGCCTGTTCTCTCTGTCTGTGTGAATTGTTTTGGTGTGCTGGTTATATGCTTCTTAGGGCCTAAAATCAACGGAAATATTCATTATATTTTTACCCAGACTTGTCCAGTTAATCCTCAGGACTTTAGAGTCCTGATTTAGTGGGATTTCAGTGGTTCACAGGCTGGCTATGGTCACTAACGAGCATCATCTGAATATACCTGGCGATTACAATATCACTGTACAAGGTGGTGCTGAGCAGATCAGCGGTTTCCTTGCCAGGTGTTGTGACCATGGCTGTGTCGCTGCCACGACAGGGGATTAGGGCACAGGATTGCATGTCTGTGGTGCAGGTGCCATTGCAAAGCTACGCTGTCACAGCGTGGCTGGCCAGACCACACGATCTCTCAGATGGCTCCATGGCTGGTGCACTCAGTTTTGGGCCCCAGACCTGGGGGATGTGGCACCTCCATCACTCAGAACATGCTAGATATAGTTCTCTGTCTGGATTGCTCTGTGGTGGGTCACCCACAGGTTGTGACTCCCCTGGAGGTTTTCTTGCAGAGCAGGTATTGGGATGAAGAGGAGATGAGAGTTGAGGGGTTTGCTGTGTGCTGGTAGCAACCAGGTCTGAGCCTGCTGTTAGCAGTCTACATGACCATGACTCCTCAGAAGGGTAACAGCAGAGCAAGGCAAAATTATCCTTCTTTTTCTTTCTGGCAAACACAGGGAGGTATGGATGGGCTGCCATGACGTGCACTAGTCTATCCAGTGAGTCCACCTCAGACTCAGCAAGACCCTCCCCTAAGCCCACTACACTAACACAAGATGCTTTCTTTCTCTACTTTCTCACCAGGAGCTTTGCCCATCACTTCCCGTTTCATCCGAGCTCAGCCAGGGCGGAGGCTGCCCTTCTTGCTCCTCCAGCCCCTGAGCAAGGGTGGCCACACGTCTGAGTCACAATGGGCAAGATGGACAACACCTCCGTGGAGCTAAGCTCTCCCTCCAAGGTGAAGCAGGCATCCCTGGAGGAGTCAGCTTCCAGAGCCCCCAAGTCCGTGAGCACCAAGAAGAAGAAGGAGATTCCAGACAGAGGCTCCTGGAAGGGGAGATTTGACTTCTTGCTGTCCTGTGTGGGCTATGCTATCGGGCTGGGCAACGTCTGGCGCTTCCCATACCTCTGCGGCAAGAATGGAGGAGGTGAGAGAAACACACAGTGCCTGTGCTCACCCCTGAGCAGCAGTGTCCCCCCGCCCAGGCTTCGGTTTGGTGTGGGTCTGGGCAAGCGGCTGGTCCCCTGGCTGAGAGCTCTCCCTCATGACGTGAGTTATTAAGCTGTCAGGAGACTAGTTCCCGTGGTCTGTGGGCTTTACTAGCAAGTTCAGATTGGGAAGAAGCAGTCCAAAGAAACGTAACAAGAAGCTTGAGTTTTGCCAAGATTCTGCAGTACAAATTTGCAGCAAAGAGTGTCTGGGTCCGCATTTATTTACAAGGAGGGCTATGCACATAGGCACCCAGCTAGATGCTAGGACATTCCCAGGGAAATCAGTTTATATCTGCTAAATGTGGGTTTCTCCTCAGTCTAGTGTATTCTCAAGGGGGTAACAGTTTGCATCTGAATTTGGGACACGTGTCTGAGGAGTTTTGATTAGAAGCTTTGCATGTACCATAGCAGGGCTGTGTAGACATATATACAAGCATGCATACATATGTACATTTACACAGGCACGCAGTTTACACAAATGTGAGTATCACCATCTGTGGAAGGAAATGAGCTTTGACTTACTACAGTGCTGTGAGAAGGGTCACAGTCATAGTCTCCATCCTAATGTTTGGAAGACACAAGAGAAGGCAGCAAAGGACTTACAGTAACTGTGATGCAGCTGATAGCAGTGCACTCCTCTGTGGACAGCTAACACCAGCTTTTTTTGTTCTCTTTATTATTGCACCCCTACATCCTTTCCTTACCAGCCCTCAGATGAGACTTTGCCAAACCATTGCAAGGCTAGAGAAAGGCAGGCAGATGGGGAAACGGTGCTGGGCTGGAAATCAAGAGATCTGCGAGATCAGGTCCCAGCCCAGCTACAGACTTTCTGCATGTCTTGGATCAAGTCAGAAAATACACTCTTGTGCCTCAGCTCCCCTCTAAAATGTTGCTATTTCTTCAGCCTTGGCAGGGACACGCTTTTGTGGAGGGGAGTATGGGCTTCTTTGGTGTCAGTAGAGCAGAAGCTCTTTCTTCTCACCCCCATGGCCAGCTCTCCCTTTGTTTGTGCCTGTTACTAAAATAACCTTCCCTCCCCCCTTGAAGAGTTGCTCACCTCCTTGAACCATTTCTCACAACTTCCCACACAAATCTAATCCTCTTTGCCTCACCATTAAGGCTGTATATATAATTTTAGCATTGCCTGATAGTCTTCCCATGTTGCTCTTTGCTTACCTCTTAGCTCCCCACTGCCCAGAGTCCCTGTCCCAAGTGCCACGTTCATGCACACTGCTCTGAAGGTCTCTTCTCACACTTCTTCTCCACATCTTTTCCTTTTGCCTTGAATTCTCTTTTCAAAGCCCTCTTTGTCTTTGGCTCTTATGACTTCTCATATCGCCAGCCCACTACTGCTGTTCATGCCGTAGGTGGTGTGGGATGCTCTTCTCTTGCCACCCTGGGGGAAAGAGGAGAGGGGTCTAGCTCCCTGCGGCGGTCTGTCCATGTAACTCCACAGCATTTTGGGGGATCTTGGACCTTTCTCTCAAGCATCGAGTCTCAGGGGGAGACCAGACAGTTATCCATTTTGACAAGAAGATTTCCAATTCAGTATGTCATTTTTTTTTTTTTTTTTTTTTTTTTTTGCAGAGACATGAGTGTGTGGCTAATGTGGCTGGGGTTTATGGGGATCAGCCAGGTCTGCCTGGGGGAGCCTGTGCCACCGTCGCGAGGACCACGGTGCGAGTCTGCCACTTTTATGTAGCCGCACAGTGGCACCTGACTGTGCTAGCCCTCCTCACAGCATTAGCCCCGTGGCTAAGCCCCAGCACTGGTTTTTAGCCTGGTTTTTAGCCTGGCGATTGCTGCACCACCTCAAACACACCAGATCCGTGCTGCCCATGGCTCTGTCTTCTCACACATAAGGTGGGGATGACAATATCTATAATTAGATGGGGGGGGGGGGTGTTTTGAAGCTAAAATCAATCAAGTCAGCTGAGATCCTAGGACGGAGGGTGCTGTGGAGGTGCGGAGTGCTATTATTGGCATTAGCGGTGGCACACAGGGTGATCTCTGCCCTGGGAGCCGCAGGCAGGCGGAGGGATCACCCGGCTGCGAGCTGAAACGCCAGGCAGACGAAAACGCAGGAATCGGTGCCTCCCTCCTCTCGAACACCCTGCCTGGCCCGCCGGTTCCCACCGTTTGTGGCAGCCTGTACCGCTCGTTCCTCTCACCCCTACCCAGCCGGGCTGTTGGCGGGCGCGACCGGCCCCGCGACCGGCGATAACGAGCAGCAAGTGGAGGCTGCCGATGCGGGAGGCAGGCAGGGAGAGCTGACGCACGAAAGCGTCACCGGGAGCCGGTGAAGAGCGGGGAGGAAGGGTCCCACGGCACCCGATTCACACCCGGGGGGGGGGCACCGGCTTGGCTGGGCCCCGGCGGAGGTGCCTGCAGAGCGGAGCAGACTGTGGGTGGGCAACTCTAATTTTAGCGTCCTGCATGTGCGCGGCTCGGTGGTGTGGGCTGCTGCCATTACGCACAGGAGGATTGAACTGAATGGAAAATATTGTCCCCTGGCTTACCGCTGTCACACTGTATCAGCTCGCGGCTGATTTGCTCGGCATTGTAATCGGGCGCGTGATTAGGGGATATTCAGCCAGGGTACAGCAGCCCACCCGCTGCGGGGAGCAGGCTTTACCCAAAGTGATGCCTGGGCTCCCTGCTGGCTCCTCACACACATGAATGTGCCCAGCTATGACTAATGCTCTAGCCTCTACACCGATTTCTAACCTCATCCAGTCCTTCTGATGTCAACAGAATTTTACCAGCCTCTAAATGCGACTCAGTAGGTGCTAAAAATTGTCTGTGAGATCCTGAGCTTGAATAACTTGAGAAGAACATTTCTTTAAATAAGCATCATGCATTTCTCATTTACACGTCGAGACTCCAGGCAACGGTATGTAACAGCTTGTAATGCTCAACTTTTGATTCGTGGGCAGTGTTCACTGTTTTAAAGATTAATTATTATTCCTTGCTGTACGGCATTAGAAGCTGCAGACTACAGGCAAATTTGGGGCTGCACAGGGAGTGCCAGATGCTGTGTGATCCTCCCCTGACTCCAAGGGCCTGTGCTCTGAGCGGGCAGGACAGGACCACCAGTGCCATCACCCCTTTGACCCATGGACTTTGGAAAGAAGTTTAGACTCTCCCAAAGTCTCACACAGTCATTTGTAGCAGGCAAGGAACTGAACCAGACCTTTCAGCAGCCCATCCAGGGCCAGAGATTAAAGACCATCCCTTCTTCTCCATGCCAAGAATTTTGGAACAGTCATGCAAATTTTAGGTACAAATTTCAGAACTGATTTCCTCTTAGGGTGTAGAGCACCTGGGGATGTTATCCATGCCCGCTCAGGGCCCTGACATCCAGAGTGGCAGTGTCATTGCCAGCTGCCCTCAATTCAAGGCTGCGGTCTGGTTTGTCGATTTTCCCCTACCTTAGAGGATTTTTGTCAGGCTGGGATAAATGCCCTGGCTCCAAAAGTTTGTCTGTTTTTTATTTTTGCTCAATAATCTAATAAAATCTTTCACCTACAAACCTTCCCGGCCCACTGTGGATGAAAAACGCGGGATCATCAGGGCTGTGGCCAAATTTTGTTAGCTGCTTGCACAGAAGCAAGCAAGGCACTGTGACTGCTGATAAGCTCAGTCTCCACGCTCTACAATGAGGCACAAGGGTGGCGAGGGTGTCCTGGGAGCAGAGCCTGGCTTCCCGCAGGGCTCCTAGGGGCTGCACCTTGCAGGCTGCAGCGGCTGGCAGGAGGGCACGGGAGGGTGCCGAGTGGGTAGCGCTCCTCCCGCTTCCATGCTAGAAGCTGTTTGCTCCCCCACGCCAGGCTGCTGGTGAAGCCGAGGGCCTGTGCTTCCACGCCAGCTTGCAATTCAGGCCCGCGGTCACCGAGCTGCTGGCCCGGAGCGTGTTTTCCCCCCGCCACCCGCTGCCAGCTCCTCCCGCACGCTGCCTCCTGCAGACTCCCACGCCGGGTGCTGGCGCCCGCCTCTCCCAGCTGGGCTCAGCTCCCCGCTTGGCAGGCAGGCATCCCCAGCTGGGTATCCCCTGAGCCAGCATCCCTGGCTGTGCCTCGCTGCTTCCCGGCCCTCGGAGAGCAGCTGCTGGAGCCTGGCTCTGCCAGGTGCCAGCTGGGCTGCAGCTCTCCGGAGTGGCTTTGCCCGCTGGCTCCGTGTTTGCTTTCCCACTAATATCTGAATATCTCAGACCGACAGCTCAGCCCTCCGGCTACTGCAGAAACCAGTGCTGTCCCAAACACGGCCAGCTGCTTCTGAGCCAACCGTGTGTCCCCTCTCTCTTCCCCACCCAGCATCTTCTGCAAGAGTTTGTCCTCCCCAGGAATGATGGCGAGCTCCAGCACATGCATGAGGAAGCTGGAAAATGAGCTTTATCCCAAGTCCTAGATGTCAGGATGACCCAAACATGTACAGCCTTCAAATCATAGAGTGAGGCTCTCCTATTCTATTTGTTTTTCTAATAATGGGGTGCAAATAATATCTCTAGTGGATGGCTGCACTACCTCATTCCTAGTGACAAGATGATTTCCATAGGGTCCATAGAGAAGAATAATCTTTTCACCAGGAATTTTAAGAGTAAAACCTAAAACAAGGTTGGGGAGGTGTATAGGGCTGTTACAGGAGCAAATACAGTCTTAGCCACGATTTCCTTAAAAGACTGAAGTACCTATAAACAAAGAAATTAGTGGCCAAAGGCAGATTTTCCTGTGCTCTTTTCCCTCGAGGTGAAGAATTGGGAGCTGCTGCAGGTAAAACAGAAAACATCAACAAGAACAAGTTAACAGTGTCAGTGTCCAAGCTTTTGGGTTTGTTGTCAGATTGGGCTTAGCGTTACCTAAATATCTAACAACAATGTATATATGTATATATGATACCCATACATCTGCAGTGATAGGAACAGATAGGGGGAAGGCAGTGGTGATCTCAGTGGGCGACTCACTGAACGCACCAACTCCAGTTGCAAACTGTCACCTCTGAGCTATTCTGCTCCTCATCACATGGATGCTGCAAAGCAAGAAACTTTACCAAGAAGGCATTTACCTCTTGGTAAAAGGGGGAGCAGTCGGATAACATTGCTCTTTCTTTCAGGGGCCTTCCTCATCCCCTATTTCCTGACACTGGTGTTTGCTGGGATTCCTCTCTTCCTGCTGGAAACTGCTCTGGGCCAGTATACCTCTGTCGGCGGACTGGGAGTCTGGAAATTAGCACCCATGTTTAAAGGTACTGTACTGTATGTCCGTGAAGGCGATGGCACATAACCACAGACAAAAACCCTTTAATGGTTTGGGAAGAAAATCAACAAATGCTTGGGGAGTGGGGTGGGGTGGCAGGTGAGGAGAGTTTTTTCCCTCTGTCTTTATCAAGCTGACCTTGACCCTGTCTGCAGTCACTAACATCACTGTGCTCTGTTCAAGAAGTCCTATGCGGTGACAAAGCACTTTATGAGCAGCAGGGACTGCAATAGAGGGGCTCTGGTTGCAGAAGACCTGCCCCAAGCCTCCCCACATAGGCTCACTTTAATTGCACGGGAAAACTGTAGGCAGGGGACATGAACCTGTTGCTGTGTCTAGAGTAGCATCATTCTGGAAAAAAAGCAGTGATTTAGAAATGCCTTGGATCTGGGAAAGAGAGATTCTGTTGGGGAAGTGACCAGATCCTGTTTTCATGGAGCTCTGTCCCTAAACTACCTGTAGCATACTGAAAGGTAGCACTGTTCACCCAGTGGAAATGGGTGGGTGAGAGATGTGAGGGAACAACCCTCCCTTGCTGACTGATTCGGTGTAGCTACATCAGGTGCTGCGTTGATGAGCTGGTTTGTTTTTTTTGGCTCTGCCACAAAACTTGTTGTGATGTCTGTGAGTTCAGTTGGGCACCAGAGACCTGGATTGATGCTTCTCTCTGCCTTCGTTCACAGGAGTGGGGCTGGCAGCTGTGGTTCTCTCCTTCTGGCTGAACATCTACTACATTGTCATCATCGCCTGGGCTCTCTACTATCTCTTCAACTCTTTCACCGTGGTGAGTCACAGACATGTCTACAGCACGGCATTGTCTGTGCTATGGGGCCTTACTCCCTGCCTTAGGAGGAGGAGTTGTTTATGACACAAAACATGAGTTAGCTGCTTGTAATTTGTGCAAAGAGCCTTCCTCAGCACCCTGCTGGACCCTTCCCAAAGAGGCTCATCAGCCCTGGAGGCAGTCATGTAGTGCTGATGGGTACTGAAGCTTGTCCTCTGGAGGGGGTGGTCCACTGGAGGGAATGGTCACGTCCCCTCTCTGGGAACTGTTGACAGTTACATCAGTCTTTAAAACCCACCCCATGTCTCTGTCATGTTTCTAGAGCTGTGTAATCTAAGAGCTGCACAATGCCACAACTGGTTTTGTCACAACATATTCTTATTACTCAGGACTTAGTCCTGACCTTAATTAGTCCTCATTTATGCTTCTCTTGATAAATGAAATCCCGGGGATTTTTTCTGCTTGGAAGATGATTCAGAAAGCATTTAGACATCTGCTTGTGACTGTCCCTTAGCACGTACTTTGGCATTGTGGTTTATAGTGGGTTCCTCTTCCATAGCAGGGTCTTCTACCATACAAGCTCAGAATCGTGCCCCACATTAACTTCTCGGTAGCTGAAGGTTTTGTTTCAGCCCAGAAGCTGGGATGTACTCCCTTGACTCTCTGAGCAACCTACAGCCTTAACGACATCAACTCTGTGGTTCAGATGGGATCTTTTCTCATTTAGATATAAGCCTTAAATGCTGTTATGAACATCGTCCATCCAGTTTCACTTTTGTTTCATCAAAAATTTCAACTATCTATCAAGACTTTTTCTAAAATACTCTGTTTGGCATTCCCAGCTGTGTTTCTACTGCCAATACCCACTGTAGAGTCCTGGGTCCAGAACAAAATTGTCAGTCGTGGATGATTAGGTGCACCCTCAAGGGAATTCCCAAAGGAACAAGTCTTCCCCAGAGGAACCCATCTCTGTTCCACCCTGTGCAGGATGCATTTTAGGATGAAGCTTTGGTACAGGCAGGTGTCACAGACCCAACTGGTGACAGTGCTCGTAACTACACAGGTGTTCAGCTCAAGGCCTTTTCTTTCACCAGAGATAATTCCAGATTCCCCAAAGGAGCCAAGGTATGGAAAAAAAAAAAAAAAAAAAAAAAGCGAGGCTGATGCCTGTTCCCTATTCTGCCTAAATTTGACTAGGAGTATTTTGAACCTGAACAGGCATCCAACTGGCCTTCTGCAGTTTCTGTGCTCTGAAATTCAGAAGAAATGGAGCAGCAACAAACTGTCCCCTGCCTGCCCCTCCCTGTAAGAGCTGCACAGCATCTCTGATGTGCAAACCACTTGGTTCTAGGGCTGCTGTGTGGCGCTACTTGAGCCGTTGCATTTGCTTCAATGCAATTTGCAAGTCCACAGTGAAATCACTGGCTGGGTGCAGAGCCTGGGTGGCCACTGGGGTGTCCCTGCCTGCCCCTCCCGTCATCCTTCTGCCAAGGCAGCGCACACGTCAGGAGGTGTCATCTGCTGGAGTGAACTGATTTAGATGGGGGTGAAGGCAGCACCTCAAGGCACTGATGCCACAAATCACTTAAAACACAGATAATATTTCCAAAGGGATCTATGTTTGTAGATTAATAGAATGGATAGAAACATCTTCTTAAAGCTTTGTTGAGCTGGAGCCTGAGGTCTTATCTGCAGAGGGTAATCATCCAGAATAGCCGTTCCGCATTTATCTACATGCACCACACTCGTAAAATGAGACTGCTGCACATGGAGACATATCTGAGCTGCTCTTGTTGGGCTGCCTCGGCCGTGGCACTGCACGGCGTGGGCGAGTTGCCCTGCACGCTCCCACAGCCCCTGACATGGCCAGTTCATCGCCTGCAGTGCCAGAGCCGTTTGTACTAAACCTGTAGCAGTGTGCTGCTGTCACACTGCTACCTATGGGATAAACATCTGCCAGGAATCCATTTGTGCTGCTTACAGTCAGGGCAGGGGACAGCATGAAATAGCTACTGCGTTTTAAATTTATTCCTGGGCTAGCAGTTTATTCATGTAGGCAAATCATTAACCCTCATTCTCAATGCCACGTTGCTTTTTAAGCGTTGAAGCTTGGTATAAATGAGAGATAAGAAACAAATCAGTGTTTATTCTTTGTGCAGTAAATTCCGACCACTTGTTGAGTGAAGTTAGCTAAAAGCTGTAATGATTATAAACACAATATCCCCTGGTAGCTATTTTAATTAGTAGCTATTAATTACAAACAGTTAATTGGAAATGGCTTCCTATCTGGGGAATTGCTAACGTTTTATTAGAACTACAGCATTGCCCTAATCACACTGTGATATTGTTTCCTGGAAAATCCGTGTCACAATTTGTCATTGTTTTGGAAAATCATTTCATGCTTTTGGCTGCAAGGTTCCTGCCCATCCAGAGGAGCTGCCTACCCTCCTTGCAAAAAAAAAAAAAAAAAAAAAAAAAAAAGGGGGGGGTGGGCAGGGTTTGGTTTAAAAGACTGTAAATTTTGCTTCTTGCTGCTGCCCTTAGGCGACGTCACATTAATGATAACCCTGCTGTCCTTGTGCCGGCGCAGGACCTGCCGTGGCAGAGCTGTGGGAACGCCTGGAACACCGACCGCTGCTTCTCCAACTACTCTCTGACCGACACCACCAACCTCACCAGCGCCGTCACCGAGTTCTGGGAGTACGTCCACAGCCTGCCCACGCCAGGTTTCTCCCCCCTCGCTGTGGCCACCGTGCCTGTGGCCGTGCCCGCCGGCACCTTTCCTTGGGCAGCCTTGGCGGGAGGCCATCAGAGGCGGTCATCAGCCAGGGCGGCCACGGCCACGGCCAAGGGTTGCGCTGTGCAGCCACAGGTCAGATGGATAGAGAGGAAAACAGCCTCTCCGCCTCTCTTCTGCTTCCTTTAGCCCATCACGATGGGCCTCGGGTCCCTTTGGGGTTTTGGGGGCTCTCATGCTTGTCTGTGCCTGGCCCTTCACCTTCCAGCTGCCTCCGGGACCTCGGATCCCTCTCTGCCCCCAAGGGTCGGATTTCCCCTTAACGCAAACCTCTCGCACCCCTAGGAGGAACATGCACCAGATGTCCGGGGGCCTGGGGGAGCCCGGCACCATCCGCTGGCCCCTGGCCGGCACGCTGGCCCTGGCCTGGCTCCTGGTTTACTTCTCCATCTGGAAGGGAGTGGAGTGGACGGGCAAGGTACGGTGCGAGGACCGGGTGTGTTGGTGCTGCCTCTCATTTTTGTGCTCAGGTCTCGGCTGTCAAAACGTGCTCTGGACTCAATTTTGTTTGAGTGCCTATAACTAAGTTTACGGTGTCTCGAGGCAGACTCACGGTAGATGCTATTAAATTCCTGACATTTACCTTTCACGGCTGTAAAAATTGTTACCATGTTTATGGTAATTTTCATTCTAAGCATAGAGAATAGCTCTTCCCTATAAAGGCACAGATCTGAGCGCTCAGTCTCTTTGGAAAAAGACTTGGGAAGAGATGTTCAGAGATTACTTATGTTTCCTACCTTGGGACAGCCCTCTGAGACAGTGAGGCCTCTTCTGGGCTCCCCCTTTTGAAAATAATTGTCTCATAAAATGCTGCTGGTGCAAAATAAACCTCACCACCTCCTTTCAAAATTTTCCTGCTGCTCTTTAGGTATTGGTGGGAGGACCTTCCGATCAGAATCATGTTGTTATTCACTGTGTAGCATTTTGGGTTAGCACGGCGGAAAGGTAATTGCTTAGTTTAGTGAGGCGGCAAAGCTGAGATACTGGAATGTGTTATTTAGAGCACAGCGTGGTGTAGTGGGACAATATTATGAAAGGAATAATCTAGAGGAGAGATCAGAAAGAAGCGCTTCAGGCATAGGCCACCTAAGCTGTTACCTTCTCCAGTGGCTCTTAAACAGGTTTTAGCTATGCAGCTGCAGCAAAGCCCAGGCGATTGCTGGTCTGGGCCCTGTGATGAGGGGTGGCACGTACCTGCAAGTCCCTGAAACAGGGCTGAAAAGAAAGCAGTGGAGTCAAGATGACTAGGGAAACACCAGCTTTCGCTCTGCAAAATAAGAATGTGATAACTTAAAGGGATTACTTCTGTGGACTAAATTCATCCTTGTGCAATTCCCTTGTCTTTGGGCAATTCATCTAGACTTTAGCACGCTACTTTTGTGATTAGTGCATCCTGGTGTGTCATTGGCAGGGAGAAACCTCAAACAGCCAGAAACATTACTAGCAAGGGAATGGGAAACAGAAAATGCAAGGAAAGGCTGTCAAAAGCAGCTGTGTGTGGGGAGCCCATCCCCCTCACGGGGGGGGACACGGCAGACACAGTGCCACCAGAGGCAGGAAAGCTCCTGGGCACTGGTGGGCTGATGGCTTCCCTCCCACGGTGTCTTTCGCAGGTGGTGTATTTCTCAGCCACCTACCCCTACTTCATGCTTTTCATCCTCTTCTTCCGGGGGGTCACGCTGCCAGGAGCCAAGGAGGGGATCCTCTTCTACCTCACGCCTGACTTCAGAAAGCTCTCCAACTCCGAGGTTGGTAGCCTAGCGAGGAAAGCTCTTACATCCCGGTTGTCTCCTCATTAGTCTTTCCTGGGCGCTTCCCTTGAATATTTTAAGTATTAAAAAGACCCTGGAATACTTACCTGTTCAAGCGGTCACAACCCTCACGGGCTGAGGCAAAGCCGAAGGGCAGATCCTTCGTGGTGGAAGTCTATGCAGCAGCTCTCTTGTACTCAAGCAGTGTTATCCATAGGGCAGGGGGGGTCAGAAATTACCCCAATGAAGGAAACTCCCCGCCAGGCTGGGAATGCCTCATTTCACTGACTGTCCCAGGGCTGGTGATTCGGTCTTGATCTGGTGGTCCCAGAGAAAGGACGACGTGGTGGCGCTGGCATGGGAGCCTCAGAAGCAGCACAAGCGCAGCAATGCACACAGCAGCAGTTTTTGGTAGTGCTTAAAGGACGAGTGGTGGCCGGTGTCGTTGCCTTGGTCAGCGGCAGCACAGAGGGGGCCCAGGAGGAGCACAAAGGCTTGCAAAGGCCAAGTTTTTCAGGCGACGCAGACTGCCTTTCGCAGCAGTGATGCTCCCATGGCTGCAGGGTCACCCCTGCACTTGTGAGCAGGGACAACTGGACACCCATCGTTTCCTGAGGGGTCCCAATGATCCCTCTCGTGGGACACTCATTGTAACCGTACAGCCAGCTGCATTGGCTCTAATTCTGGAAACAGGGCTCTCAAGACTGGAAGAGTTGCTTCAATAGTGTGCAATTAAGAAAGGAACAGTCTGCCCCCTTTTCTTGTGCCTTCTAGTCTTTAAGACCTTGAGGTACTGGGACCAGCTTTGTAAGCTGTCCTCCACAGTTGTTTGCACAAGAAACTCCATGTTGGAAAATCAAAGACACTCTAGTGGAAGAGGGACAGAGAGGGTGAGCATGGGACGTGGGTCTCTGAGGGGAGCAGCACCCTTCGAGGGGGGCATCTGTGAGAAAGCAAGCACGCATACAAATTCAGACAATGCATGAGTCCTTTCTGACCTGCACCAGATGCTGAGGGACACAGTTCAGAAAAAAGGATGTATGCCCCTTCTTCCATCCCCATCCATCCCTGGAAGCAGCCTCGACGCACGTGTTTCAGAGGGCTGGGGACGTACGTCTGGTGCTGGGCCAGGCTGCACTCTTGATGCATTTGCTATTTGGGAGGGAGGCAAACACCCTGTGCCCCTTCCTCCTCCTCCTGGGGGAGGAGTCGCTCTCTAGCAAGCTCCCTCCTGACACTGCAAGCAGGCGAGGCATATGCCCCATCACCGACCCCCTGCCCTGTGTTAAAGGCCTCTGGCAGCCCCGTTCCCCTGGGGGTGGCCCTGCTGACCCCCCGTAGCTGTGGGATGCACAGTGGCTCCAGGAGGCAGCATGCTCCAGCCACGTCTGTGCGATGCAAACACACAGCATCTCCACCCCACAGGCAAAATGGGGCTTCACCAGCTGTCTCCATTACTCTCCCCTCCGCCTGCACCACCATCTATGAACCCTACCTCTCCCTGGAGACAGGTGTTCAGAAAGGCGGGGGGAAAAAAAAAATAAAAAATCTGTTCTTCAGACACATTCAGCCTGGTTGGCAGTAGCAGTTACAGGTTTCACGGTGGCTCCTGTGACTTTTTCAGCCGCTGGCCCGAACAGTTCCTCGGAGCTTGAGTCAGCAGCCAGCACTGCAGGGGACCGTGGCCCTAGTGACAGGGTGCCCTCGGGTCCCGGCAGCCCCACGGTCTGCATCCAGCCCCCCCCGCCAGCCCTGCACTGAGCTGCTGCGGGAGACGCGCCGGCAGCACCGAGCCCCTCTCGCTCCACTCCCCTCCTGGCTCCTTCTCCACAGGTCTGGATGGATGCAGCCACACAGATCTTCTTCTCTTACGGCCTGGGGCTGGGGTCTCTGATCGCTCTGGGGAGCTACAACGCTTTCCACAACAACGTCTACAGGTCTGTTGGGTTTTTTTCCAGCCTCCTGCGTGGCGGGGAGTTCTCGCGGGTGAGGGAGGGGGTCAAGGCGAGTCTGGGGTGCCTGCTCTCTGATATCCCCTGGCTGGCCACGTGCAGCCGAGGTGCCACGCTGCGACCCTCGTAGTGGGACTCTCTGCCTGCAGGACACTTAACATGTCACCCATGGTACCTCTCCAAGGCACAGGAGCTGCTCTCGGCAGGGCTTGGTCTTTTGTTTACCCCACCCTTCGCTCCTGGGCTCTTTGGTAGGGACCTGCAGGTGGTTTCTCTTCTTTTTTTTTTTTCTCTTCCAGAGACTCCATTATTGTCTGTTGTATAAACTCCACCACAAGTATATTTGCCGGATTTGTTATTTTCTCTATTGTTGGCTTCATGTCGCACATCACAAAGAAGCCTATCTCAGAGCTCGCCTCCTCAGGTAAGCAGTAAACCCACGTTGAAATACAACAGCAACCTTTGAGATCAATTTTTCAGGGAGCATGGGATGCTCCCAGGCCTTTCCTGCCCGGGGCCCAAGTGTGCAATCCTCTTTGCACACCCTCCCACCTAGATGTTTCTCAGGCAGCTGTGGCTGATGTTCTTCACACTCTGGCTGCAAGGGACATCTCCACCTGCTTTTAATGTTCATCTTCTTTTAGTGCTAAAGTTTTATGTGCTTTTGCTGCAGTGAAATATTCAGGCCATTTGCTTTCTGAAACCTTCCTATGGAGAATAGATACTGCCCATGTTTTCAGTAGGTGTGATCAAAATTTGGATTCCTTTTTCCATGCGAAATTTTGAAATTGTAATGTCAGAATAATTTTTTAACCAAGATGGGACCGTGTCTTTTTGCACAAAGACATATTTTGAAATTGCTGTCTTCTCAGAGAAAGCTTTTATCTCAAGAAACAGCATTTTGTGATGGAAAGAAAAAAAAAAAAAAAAAAAGACATGAGGAAAGTTATAACCAGCTCTGAATATCAGTTTATTTTTCCAGCAAAGTGTTCCAGCTCCATTTGGTAGCAGTAATTTGATGACTTTCTTTCTTGCAGGAAGAGAAAAGGCAAATCATTTCTCCAGTCATTCCTGCCTCCCCATCCTACCCTTGTGCACCCCGCTGGGTTGGTGTGTCATGGGCGAAGGCTCAGGTGTTTCTAGCTCCTATATTAAATACCTGCAATTCTTGACTGTGATCGTTGTCTCTCTGTTCAGCTGTGGCCCTTAGCTTAGACTTCCCATCAAATGCTTTATAAACATGGGCAATTTTCATTACCACAGGCCCTGGACTGGCTTTCCTCGCCTACCCGCAGGCTGTCTCACAGCTGCCCCTCTCCCCGCTTTGGTCGATCCTCTTCTTCTCCATGCTGGTGATGTTGGGTCTGGATAGCCAGGTGAGGTGACCCAGGGACAAAGCGGGGTAAGATACGAACATATCTTCAGGTGTCCCCTTCTGCACCCTGGGACAGTGCTGAGCAGGGTCTTTTCTTACTCTTCATGGTGAGATGCAGCTGCATGAAACAAAACCTCCCGTGCGGTCATTGCCTCCGTGTTCTTCCCTAACATAGGCATGTGCTGCAAGTGTGGCAGTATCTGACCACTACTAATGCACCAGTCCTTGTCCTGCTGCCAATTAAAAATAAGAGTAATGACCAGCTTCCGGCAAAACCAGTCAGCCTTATAAGATAATCACTGCTTCCCTGTAGGAGAAGTTCTTTGGAAAGCTTTTCTCTGTTCAGATCAATTTTTGGCCCTAGTGAAGTGCCGGTGCTGCTGCGTGGGCACGCCATGTCCCCATCTGGCTGGGTGACCCTGGTAGCTGAGCTCACAGGCTCTAAGTAGAGCTAGTGGGAAACTGTCCCTGCCAAAATATTTTGGGGCAAGAGAAAAAGGAGAAATACTTCTTTCAAGTATTACCTTCTATATTCTTGTAAGACATGATTCCCCCACCCCCAAAATAGATATGTGAACTAATGAAAATCAGTATTAACTGCTTCATTTCGTGCCTGCATGTTAATAGTTTGCGGTCATCGCAGCTGCCTTCGTATTTTGTGAGAAGCTTAGTTTGGATGTTTTGGATTTTCTTACTGTGTCACCTTGACCAAACGGCATTTCCTGTGAGGCAAAAAAATGCCATTACTTTGACTTACTTTCATAGGTTAAAGTAGAAAGTCTCCATCTTCTCTACTCCCAGGAGCTGGGAGGAGCATCCCTGTACAAGGCACCAGTCTCCAGCCAGACCCAGTGCTCTGCTGCAGTATCAACAAGTTGCGCTGAAAAATGCAGCAATGCGGCTTTTGAATTAGGGTTCTCCCGTGGTGTGAGAATGGTGTGAGAGTAGTGGCATGATTCAGCATTTCAACATTGTTGTTGGCAAAAAAAAAGTGGCCCTGAGCAGAGCTGAAGCACCCTGGCTCGGTTTGTAGGTGAGCAGGGGTAGATCCTGGCAGAAGGAGGGATCCATGCCTCGGGAAAACCTGGTGCCTGGGTACCCTGACTACTTTGCCATCAGGTAAATCTTACAAGATATTTGAGGGGGAAGCAGCTGGATGTGGCTAAAAGTCTACCCTGCCCCCCTCAGAGCCATCACAACAAAACAAAACACAAAAATCATGGGTTTACAAGTGGTGATACTTTTTTTTTCTGGTAATTCAGCGTAAAAGTAGCTACCCAGTGAAGCAGTGAATTGCAGCGTGACTCCCTTTTGAGTGCATCAAAATCAAAGGCTCCTTCAAAAGCCTGTGTTTGGACTGTCACATCTTCCCCTGTGCCCGTGTGCTCTTTTCTTGCAGTGCAAATCACCGGTACAAAATGGATGCTTTCTTGGATTACAGGTAGCGTTCATAAACCCAAGTCTAGTTCATAATCAGAATCAGGCTTATTCTTGAAATGTCACACCTGGTTTCCAGGAAAATGTAATCAACCCAATCTGGTTTTCAATTATGGAACACTCCCACAAACACATCATAAAGCTCATGTCTTCATTACCACAGACATTATTCGGCAAATAATTCCAAATAACGACTAAATGTTCCAAAAGAAGCTACATCTACAGAAAAAAAAAAAATTACTCTCCATGGATTATTCACTCAGCACTAGTAAATAGATCGAAACATGACAATAAGCCGTCTAAGCACTATCTGGAATTTATTTGCTGTATTTGCTTCTGAAATACCACTTGAAATTCTCCGAGTCCCTTCTGACAGCTAGGCTTGGAGGGCAGGCACTCCGTGGGGGGCTATCGTTGCCGGGAGGAGGAGGAGAAGGGAGGGGAAAGCATCAAAAAGAAAACAAGCTTTTAAAAAAGCACAGATAAATACATGTGAAGAAGCTTTCTGTCTGCATGCTGGAGCTCTGATTCAATCAAACACACCATTAATAACATGGCAGCTTATGCGTATAAAACAAATAACACAGACTGCAACAACGGCTGCAATTGCACATGCATTTTGAAACGTCCGTTTTTTAAAAAAAAAAAAAAAAAATTAGAAAAAAGAGACGGTTTTGCTATGTGCTGATTAAATATCATTTGCGGTATTTGCAGATGGGGAACAGCCGTTTTTCGTTTTGGTGAGGCACGGCAGGGCAACAGGGGATTCCTTGCACCCCGCACCCCCAGGGCTGCGGGGCTGGGGCTGCCCCTTGTCACGGGTCTGTAGGCACAGCTCGGGACCCTGGCTAGCAGAGGCAGGCAGGGCCCTTCTGACAAGCCCCAGCCCCTGCAGGATGGTGGGAGGAGGTCCACCCGTGTCCTTTAGCTTTGACAGCGAGTCTCCTGCAGGTGCAGCACAGCTACAGCTGCCTCTTTCTGCCAGGGTGCTCATCTCATCTGCACTTACTCGAACGGGATGAACGACCTATATTGATAGACACGTGCCTCCCTATGTGCCCCCACTTGCCGCTCGTGTGCCTTAACGTTCCCGCTGCATCTGATCCACCCAGGCTTTAGCTCTCTTGCATCTAGACCCTCTTGCATAATATGCTAATGCTTCCTTTTAACCGACCAGTTTCCAGGTCAGGCGTTTTCTCCTAGCAAGCCTTGTGACTGCAAGCCTGCATCTGCCCCATGGGAGGCTGTCTCTCACCCGTTATTTGTGAGGATTTCCTGATATGCCATATCTTGTGGCTCTCTGCTGCACATCTGGCAGCTGTGGTCAAACCCACCGTGGGCCCATGGGTCCCAGTCAGGGTGCTCTGCACGGCTGAGGAGGGAATAGCAAGACCCTGACACTCGAAGAAGGCGGGAGAGAGACTTTCCTTCAGACCAAGGTGCCACCTATATTGACTCCCAAGCCCAGATTGTCAGACCCGGCAGCTTGTATAATGATTAAGCCTCTGAAAGGGAAAAAGAGAGAAGTGAATGGAAATAAAATATTTATCAGAGAAAAAATATCATGAGGTGAGGCATGAGGAAAAACAGAATATGTGCTAAAAATTGTGGCTGGAGACATTTGGTGAGAAAAATGGAACTTTTTCGAAACCAGACTGAAGTGTGTGTGTGTTTGTGTGTGTATCCATCTGCATGCACAAGTGCACACCCAGGGCAAAGGCGAGAACAGCAGGCATCGCAATGACCAGATTCTCATCACTCCTGACAGCAGCTTGCTTTCGCTCAGGTACCTCCTTATCTCATGTGAGCATCTCAGGTTGGGTGTGCAGGCTGGGAAATGTGAACCCCAGGCCAGCCAGAAGCCACAGCCCCCAGGGTGTTTCAGGAAATGCTATGAAGTCCATTGCCTGTTTTATCGCTAGAAAAAGCAGTGTATCACCATTTGGTTACGCACCTTATCTGTTACACAGCATGTTAATTTTGATAGGAGGCAAAGAGATTTTAATTCACTTTGTAGCCCTGTTCCCCATCACCTGTCTCCCTGTCTTTCCCTCTGTGTTTTCTCTGACTTTGATCCCTCTTCCTGCACCAAAGGGTGTCAGTTTTACTCTTTCCATCTGAGGCACCTTTTTCTTTGCTGCTTCTCTTCTGGACACTCCTCACATCCACCCTCTGCCCCCAACCACGCCTGGCATTCCTTGGAACCCTTTTCCATCTTTGCCTTGCCTGGTGCCAGACCGCCCAGCCCTGTCCGTGGCTCCAGTGGAGTCTGGACATGCATCCATGTGGAAAGAATAGCTTTCAACAGGTTTTGTTTTTTGTTTTTTGGTTTTTTTTTTTTTGTTTGTTTGTTTTTTGGTTTGTTTTTTTTTTTTTTTTTTGTCATACTGTGGTGCCAGCTCAGTCCTGACTTCCAGACAATGAGCCAGGTGGGATGGGGTGAAGAGCTCACTGTCAATGACTTCAAAGGCAGCTTTACCCATGTCTGAACGGCAAAAGATGCTTTAGTAGCACTTGTGTCCAACATAAAAGGCTTAGCTCATTAAAAATTTGAGTTGAAGCAGTTGAGCTTTGACACTCTGGGGGCACCAGCTTTCAATACTCACTGTGCAGCTACAAAACCCTGGGCAGAAACACGGCCCTTTGCCTCGCTCTGTGCCCAGGTGGAAGCCAGCCCCAGCACCCAGCGCTGTGCAAGCTCTTCCAGCGTCCCTGCCCAGCTATAAGCACAGCTCAGACTCCTCTCTTTTCTCCCATACATCTTTCCAGCCCTCTGCTGTTCTTTTTCATCTGTGTACCTCTACCTTCACCTCCACTCAAGGATTTTTTTTACTTCTTGTCTCCCTATTCAAAGCTGAATCTAAAAATGCCAGCACTTTCTAGAGTGCTCTCCCAGGGACAGGGAGGTCCCTGACATCCAAAAGCAATGAAACCTCTAATTTTTGTTGCACCGGCTTGTACATTTTCTGAGGGTGACCAGGGAAGTTAGGAGCTTGCTGCCCTCATAAATTTCCCAAGATTTTTGCTAGAGGCATGACGTGCTCTCTGAGAGCTGTATGTTACACCAGTGGTTTCTGGGAGTGACATATAAAAGTGTATCTCAAAATTTATCAAGAAACAGGAGGGAAGGATGCACTTCACACATATACAATCAAACTGCCCTCATGCCATAGGGCAGAACTAGTATGAAAGCTGATTTGAAGGTAACACTTATGGGGACTTATTTATGTGTTATGGTGCAGACAGCATTCATGTACTGTGCCTGGTATAGCACGGCACAAGCCAGCCAGGTGTTTTCAGTTCTAGAAAGGCGATGTGCTGTGAGGATGGGCTTTTAATGTATTGGATGTACTTAATGTAGTGTGCTTGGAAAAGTGAAATAAAGTGAAGGACTGAGTAGTCAGAGATGTTGTTATGCACGTGGATGTGAGGCTGGGCAGTGGGTAATGCAGCTCCTTAATGAGTGTTTTAGATCATTGAACAGCACAACCGCTGTTGCAATAGTCTGAGAAGAGCACACATGGGAAAGGAAGAACAAACAAGGCCCTTCACATGTCCCTGCAGCAGACAGACACATTGCTGTGACAGAGAGCCTGGCAGCACGGGGGAGCAGGGCAGTGGTGGGGAGGCCCTAGAGAGTTTGTGGGAAGAAAGAGGAGGCTTTCCATGGGAGGCAAAAGGCAGAGATTTATCTCAAGTAATTTTAAGTATTTAACTCCAGTGCTTTTAGCTCCCTTGATATTCAGTGAGGGATAGAGGCATTTTGAGAAGATGGTTCACACTAACTTTGCGCAGTGGTGCCTGCTACTTTTCTAGTGTCTGCATTGAGTACTTAAAGAAATGAGGATCTCAACACTGGAGTTAAATGATGTCAGGCTAAGATACTTATATATGTGTCTTTGGTGTATACCTTTTCCCATAGTTCTGCACTGTGGAAGGGTTCATTACAGCCCTGATAGATGAATATCCTCATCTACTGAGAGCCAGGAAGAAGGTCTTCATCGCAGTAGTCTGTTTCATCTCTTATCTCATTGGATTCTCCAACATCACCCAGGTACAGAGAGTCATGCTTGTACCTCCATTCACGACACCTTTCCAGTCCCTCTGGCATAGCACAGCAGCACCAAAAGCTTTGGGAGTAGTGACAGCATCCCTAGGAGCCATCCTAATGCTGGATAAATGGGCTTGCTCATCACTACCACATCTCAAGTGGCTTAGGATGCCTCCATAATTTTTACCACCATCCTGTTGTCAGTCTGCCTTGCCCTTCTGTTATTTGGAGTACGGGCTAAAGCCAACAGAGCACAAGCGAAGGGAATGCTTAGTGCAAGGGGTTGAGATAACATAAAGAAGACCAGTCTGTTGGGCCCCTGAACCTTTGGGGCTGAAGCCAAGGTTCACACGTGTGGAGGCCAAGGGTCAATGCTCTGGAGACCATTTGTGGAGCACTGTAGGTTCATGAGGAGGCAAGGCAGCAAAATTTCTGGGAAGGGCAGAGCAGACAAAGTTAAGTGACTCCGTCTAAACCGGATCAAAGTAAGGAATCCTACTGGATCCCTGCTTTTCTTCTCACCCTTGGCCGTGCCTGAATAGGCTGGCTAATTGCAAAAGTAAATCAGTTTTGCTGCTGGGAACCAGACTCCAGTGGAAACATTGCAACACCAGCTCTACCGTCCAAGGAAATTAACATTAAAGCCGGGAGACTCAGATAGTAGCAATCCAAGCAGCTGACCATAATCTATAACTAAACTCCATGACACTGGTTTTGTCTCCTCAGGGTGGCATTTATGTCTTCAAGCTGTTTGATTACTATTCAGCCAGTGGCATGTGTCTTCTTTTTCTTATATTCTTTGAGACCATCTCAATTTCTTGGTGTTATGGTAAGCACAAAACACCTTGTTTCTTTGTTTTCTCTATAGGCACAGTGAGTTATTTCAGAAGCCTCCCACAGTGAAGCCAATGAAAACTTTGCAACCGAAAACAACTTAGGCTGATAAATCCAGAAAATCAGGAGCAGGAGGCTGTCAGTTCATGTCTCCAGGCCACCACAAAGACATCTGCACAAACTGGCAGATGCCTAAGGACCTGCCCTCTGGTCCTTCAAGAGGACACTAGGAACGTGGAAGCTGATAGCACAAAACTGCTTTAGCATCCCTGTGCCCTGTCCCCTCCAGAGAATGCTTCTCATGCCACAGTATCATCACTCTCTTGCTGTGGCTGGCCTGTGCTGTGAAATGAGAAAAGGTGATGACCATGCCTCTGAGATGGGATGTTTATTTCAACGCTCATTTCTTCTTGTAGGTGTGAACAAATTTTACAAGAGCATTGAAGAAATGATTGGCTACAAACCATGCATCTGGTGGAAGATCTGCTGGGCCTTCTTCACGCCTCTTGTCTGCCTGGTAAGAATGGCATTTTATCTACAGGAGTGGATCCAGAAGGACCTCTTAGTTTGGATGGGCTGTAGGGGAAATGCTATGTTCTCAGCCCAATATAGGGTTGGTACAAGGTGGTTCTAGGCAGACCTGAGATGGGTAAAGTAATACAGGAACCTCCTTCACTCTTTCTGCAGGAAATCACCTGTAGAAAAAAGCTCTAGATGATTGTTTTAATCTAAATGATGCCATCAGTTCTTCATTCTTTCTGACATGCCAAAGGATAGGCAAATAACTTGCTGTTTTAAAAAGCTATTACTGATTCTGGTGAAGACTCAGCTACTCCTACTAGGTCCAGCCTCAGCCCCTGATAGGCTTATCAGAGCAAAAGACACCAGCAAATGGAGTATAGCTGACTGCAGAACAATTTAGCCTTTGATGGTTCCTTCACTTTGAGAAGACATACAGGGAATGGCGTGAGAAAGCCAATGACAGGAAGATGAAGACTCCTGAGACCAGCTGTGAGGATACTGTTAACTTGCTTAGGAGATGGTGTGGGGGCACTGCTTGTCTGAGTAGTCTAGTGCAGAAGGAAATCAGGAGTATTCCAGTTCTAGCTTTTTTCATAGGATAATCAGGGGACAAGTGATTTAAAATTACCAGTTGGTGGTCTGATAGCATCTAGACTAATTTAAGGAGCTGTTAGGTTGTTGTAAGACTCTTGGAAGCTAAGAGGACAGTGAAGGAAAGAATGAATGGATGATGTCTGGTTTTGCACACCTTCACCTGTGATGGCTGGTGCTCTTTTCCCAGGGTGTGTTCTTCTTCAGTGTGGTGGAAATGACCCCTCTGACACTGGGAAAATATGTCTATCCTGTGTGGGGACAAGGCATTGGTTGGCTTATGGCTCTGTCCTCTATGGTATTGATTCCAGGATACATGCTGTACTGTTTCTTCACCTCAGCGGGGACTTTCCGACAGGTATGAACATCTTCACCACTCCTCTTCTGCTCTCTGCTTAGAGTAAACCCCCCACTGAACTAAATCTAAGGAGAACCAAGCAGACTCTGCTCTGACAAAGTTGTTGGAGTGCTTCAGGTCGGTGCTGCAGGAGCTCTTCGCACCATCTCCTCCAGGAGGGCTCAAATCAGCCCCGGCACACAGAACGGCCTCCGGTGGCATGGGATTGCTGGAGAGGACTTACTAGCACTAATGTGTCTAAGTGTCTGGGACCACTGCCGGGCAGCACGTGGCTGCCTGCACCTAGCCACATGGGTAGACCTTCAGGTAGTCTCTCCTTAGGTCAGCCTATTGTGCCCCATTGAGCTTTGTGTTGTCACCATCACAAAAAGGGACTGGAGCCATGGAAGAGATTGGGAAGAAATCTTGGAGGTTTCTTAACCCAGAGAAATCCCAGTTCCCAGCAGTCCCTGCCTTTGAAGGTGGTTACCTGGCATGTCTCAGCAGAGAGACCAGCGTCTTTCAAGCATGAAGCTTGAAATACGTCAGGGCTAGGATCCACTAGTGACAAACATGCACAGCAGTAGTTTGTCATGTGCTTTGTAAATGGCACTCGATGAATAAGGGGTTAAGAAACGATGCAGACTTTTATGCAAGACCCATAATACCCAAAACTCTGATCTCATAAAGCATTTTTTTTTTTTTAAAATTTGAGCAGGGTTTTACGTGGCAGTGAATCATGAGTCTCTGTATGTCATACCTAGTAATTGCTGTTAAGATTTTATTTACAGTGTTGACATTCAGTCTCGAGAGCACCGTGCACAAAGCCCCTGGTTCAGTGCTGCCTGCTGCGAGCTACAGGTGTAAGAACTCACTGCAGGGGTGCTCATTAATGGCTTTCGCAGGCCAGCTTCAACAGCAGCTAGATGCCATCTAAATCCTATGAGTTTACTTCAAGGATACTATATTTTGAATAATGTTTAATTCAGAAATGTTTTGGCTGGAATTGCTAGACTGAGGTCAGCTTCAGGTTCTCTACCTCTGAGGTGAAGTTGCAGGTGGATTTGGTTTTCCTTCCTCCCAGCTCTCCATTTGGATGGACTCTGGTGGGGGAACTGGGTGGGTTTGGTGTCTTAGATCCACTTTCAGTTTCAGGTCTCTCTGAGAGAGAGTTTAACTGAGGTCAAGTTTAGGTTCTTGTCATTTTGTGTTGAAGACCAGCAGCAATTCCCATAGTAAGTCCTTTCTTAGATATTTTGAGGGGTCCTTATCCCCTCATAATACTGCAAATACAGATATGGGTTCAACCCTTTGTTTAGGCTCAATCCTGTTTCCACTAGGGATGGTGAAAGCATGTCCTGGCATCCGAGGGCATCTCATGAGCATGTTTCCACCCATCCCCTCAGCACTTCATGCAAACCAGCAGTTGCCCTCTCCCTCTAACAGCACTCACGCACAGCAGGAGACCCAGACCTCCTCCCCACTGTTTGTAGACCCAGGAGTGAGCAGCAGATGACAGCAGGAAGAAAGTAGGTTTATCTGAGTATGTGTGTGTGTGTGTGTGTGTGTGTGCACGCACATTGGTATCAGAGAGACAGAATTTTTGGCTTCTTATATGCACAGATCCTGGATTAGTTTGTAATAGAGCTGGAGCTGGAGGGAAATTAGATGCCGATGCTGAATAAAGTGGTTTTGACAGACAGGAAAGATTACAAGTCATTTTGATCCTACTGAGCATGAATGTGAGAGGGAAAAAAAGACCATGAATGGCAGAAGCATCTCAGTGAACATTTCAGGGACTTCACCCAGCAACAGCCACTTCAGTGGTATTGGAGATTAGGAGCTTGTGTTCTTTTGCTGGAAAGAGCTTCTTCCTGGCTTAGTGATGTCTATTCAGGTCAGACCCAGCCCTTCTCTGCCTTCTGCAACTCACAGCATCAGTCCCTCCCTGACAGGCAAAAGTGATTGATTCATTCTTCTTTATCACTCCTGATGCTCAGTCCACACACCCCCAGTGATGACTTGCCCCTCCATATTTTCCTGGGTTCTTGCTTCACTTTACTTGGCCCAGTAATTTTCATTTGATCAGCTCAGGGTGATAGGAATTGCTGCTGGTGCAAAGGTTTGTGTGTGTGCACTGGTCTGATCTACATCACCGGCACAGACCGTAACCTTGTTAACCTGCTGTGGCTAGTCAGTGATGCTTTAAAATCAACCCTGGTAGAAAAATTATGGAAACTGGGAAAATGGGTCTGCTCTGAAGCCTGTGACATTGCAGCTCTCTTGTTCCTAATTGCAGCTGGTATTGCCTGGTAACACTTTGCCTGTGGTGATCCCTGTATTTCAGATAAAAGGAGGAGCTGCTGTGCTGTGTGCAGCACCAAAGCAAAGGTGACTTGCAGAGGCTCGCAGTGGATTGCTGAATGGTGCTGGAGGAGTAACTCCTGCCACATGCACCGTCCCCTTGCCCTGTAACTAGGGCCACCTCTGAGGCTTGGGGCGAGGGGTCCCAACCCTCAGCTGCTGCCATGCCTGCTTGTCCCACCGCTGCCACCCCTGACCCACCCTGCCCCTGGCTGACACGCTCTCTCCCTTCATTCCTGGGCAGCGTTTGCAGCAGATGACACAGCCCAAGCCAGAGAGGCAGGCTCAGAACAACGGCCTCCAAACGAAGATGTCCTTTCATGGGAAGGTCTCAGATGCTGCCGTCTAGGAGGAGAGCCCAGACCTCCTCACCCTGCTCTCTAGCTGCTTGCACCACGTTGTCCCTTGAGCTCCTCCTGCACAGCTTGCTGTCCGTGGCTCCACAGAGGCTTTCGCTTGTCAAAGAGAGGACTTGATGGAGGAACCCTCATGCGTCTCTTCCTCCCAGCCAAGCTTACCAAGGCCCTGCACGAGCTGCTGCCAGGGCACTGCGTGGTGACCATCTTCATCCTGCAACATCCTCGTCCAGGGTCTCAGGGAGGAGCGGACAGTGCCCAGGTCTTCCTCCTCCTGACAAGAGGATGTTTCTAGAGGGCTTAGACTGATCGCCCTTCGTACGTGTGCACACACAGCGTGGCTCAGTGCAAATTAGTCTCTCCCCTCCCTTGGCACCCTGACAGCATCACCAGGTCTGCTGGCTTGCTTTCCCGTGCTGGCTCGCACTCTCAGGCCCAGCTCAGAGTCAATGAATTCATCAATGAGTGTCCGAGGGAAGGTATGTCCCACTCATGCTGTGGAGCTGTGACATGATGGAGGTTGGCCCCATGCTGCCCATCCCGGGGACCAGCTGGGGCACGGGGCCAACCTGCTCTTTTGCTGGCCTCCCAGCCTGAGGATCAGTAGCATAAAGAGGAAAGAAGTTGTGATTAAAGCTGAATTTGGCCACCTTTGGTGTTAGGTCGCCTGCCAGATCACCAATGCATCTCGATTAATGTTGCTTTAGATGTGTAACCGGTTTGTGTTTGTACACGATGTACGTGCTGTGTCCTGGCTCTTAGAGGCCGTGGCTGCCAGGCCTTGGGTGCATGTTTTGCAGTCTCCAACGCCACGAGCTGAGACCTCACCCTGTCCCGCCTCTAATCATCAGGTGTTTGCGTCAAAAACATCGCAGCTGTTAAATAGACGTGAAGAAGTGCTGAATGTGCAGGCTTGATCTTGTAAAGCCAAAAGCCAAACACTGAAAGCTGCAATCATAGTTCATCACAATTAATCTCAGCCAGTCACAGACATGTCATCTTCCCTTGTCCCATAATTACAAGCACTAGTATAAATTTTCTATTCCGCTTTCACCTACTTTTATAAACTAAGGGATAAAGGAAACCACTCCTTATATATATATGTCCTTTGAGAGGGACATCTGTGTTGAAGACAGATGTTAACCTCTGATCTTTGCAGTAATGACCTTTACTAAGAACCTGCTTTTGCCTGTGCATACAGGTCCCATAACCTCTCCACCCTTAAATGCAGACTGAGAGTTGCACAGGCAGGCGATAGACAAAGGAGTCAATTCTTGAGTGGGGCCTTAAAAACTTGGAAGACCCCAATTTTTCCAACTTTATTGGGGCAGCTCAGGTCTGAGGCAGAACAAATCAGTGTCAGTGGTCGTTTTAGAAACTCTTGGCCGAAGAACTGGGTTGCTGGGAGAGCTGTTCAAAGGTTGGACCATCCAGGTTGTTCCTCCAGGGGAGTGGAGAAGGGTCCAGAAAACAAAGTCCCTTTCCTGGTGGCTGAGGAAATCCCTAAATCCTTGGCTCCTTTTTGCTGGGATTTTAGTACCCGTCTCTCTCTGGCTTGTGGCTTTGCATGTGCCTGGTGCTGATCATCACTCCAGGTGTAGCAGCAGGGTCTACCCCGCATATGGGCTGCTCACAGTAACAACATTTAATGAGATTTAACCATCTGCTGAGTTTTCTGCCTGTGACATTCTCCTTTGCTTTTCCTGCTGCCCTGCTTCTTCTCATTCACTTACCTCACTGCTTCCCCATCATCATCCATCCAGTGGAAATTATCTGCCTCAGCTTGCTTCTTCCTGATTTTTTGCTTCCACTACTGTCAAATTACAGCTTTCCCTCCATTCTCTTTTTCTTTCTATTCTTTCTCATTTCTATCTCTCTATATTATTACCAGCCTCACTTCCCTACTTCTCTCACGCACTTTCCTCCCAGCCTTGTTACTTATCCCTGCGTGCCTGTGGCTCAGCCGCTCGCTATGCACGCTCTTATCCCTTCTGCCTCCTGAAAGCTGGAGCTCGGGACCCCACAGAGGAGCTCATCTTTTTGCTATATCCAGCTCCTAAGAACCAATTTTCATCCCAATATCAAAATTATAATGAAGTCCCAGTCATCTTCTCATCCTCTGTACCAGAAAGCTCTGTGCTAAGCAGCGCTATCTCTTGGTATTACTAGAAGAGGCATTTCAACCCATATTCCACCAGTCTCTGCAGAACTGTGCTTGCTCTGAAAGATTTTGTGGCCTTTCCTGTTTTGGCACTATTTTATTTCCACCATGAATGTTGGGATTTGCGAAGTCTAGCATTCATAGCCTTGCAGGGTAGAATTTGCCCTTAGTCAAGCTCTGTCTGACCGACTGATCCCCTTCTCCAGCATTTCACACTCAACCCATCCCTAGTGCCCAAAGACCCTTCCCACCTCCATCTCATGCAGGTTTCCCATCTAGTGAGGCAGCCGGGATGGGGCCAGCCCCTTGAGCTCATCCCACGCCTCAGAAATGCCACTATGGGCAGATCCAGCAAAGCAGCCATAGCTGCACGTTGACTTTTTGACGTCAGGCTTCAGACCCCAGCTGAAGTGCCGTGCTCAGTGCCAGCGATCCCTCTGTAAGAGCCGCTTTTGTGCCGTTCCCTTGGTGCGTCACTTCTGCTGCCCACCACGCTGCTCCTCACGCCTTTTGGCTCACCCAGCAGAGAGGATACGTGTGTGGCCGGAGGGTGGGATGCTCCACTCTTCCCCCATGATGCGGTTCAGAAGGGGATCCCAATCCCCTGTGCTCACCTGCAGCACTTCTGCCTGTTCTCTGCCCCCCTAACCCCCACCAGCACCCGCTGGCCTCTTCCTCCCACCATGGGCAGCCACTCAAAATAATCCCCCGTGAAATCTCTTAATTCTAAGGAGCTATTTAGGGAGCTGTGCTCAAATCCCTCTGAAATCCTCTTTTTTCCTGAGGGCTGCAGAAAATAAAATAAATGTCATCGCCCCCACCCTCTGCTGCAGCAGCAGGGTCTGAGGGGGATGATGAGAAAGGCAGGATTGCTTCGTTGCTGCTCAAGTGCCGCTTCCCCTGCAGAGGCGGGTGCGATCCTCTCCGCTGGGAGAGAGGAGATCTTGCTGCTGCCATTCTACCAGATGTGCTCCAACAGCTGGCAGCTGGTTGTGAGACACATGTGCAACACCTGCAATGTGAAACCCATGCTGTGTGGCACTGTAAGGCTTCGGCCAGCCGACGGCCGCATGGCTTGTAGTCTCTCCACAACTCTATTAAATGATGTGTTGGGCGCCCTTAAAGCCAGTGTCATCCTGGATGAGCAACTCGTCCTTATCCCTCTCCTGTCCTGGGGGGATTCTCTCCGGATTGGGGGCCCCTGGTTGCATTTGGTGGTGATGGTCCAAGCAGGCGTTGGACCTGCTCAGAGCTGCGTGGTGGCAGTGACGTGACCACCCTGGCCCTCAGGGTTTGTTCACCCCAACAGGAGCAACCCCCGGGGCTGCTGTCCCTCCCTCCAGTGCGTTGGGTGTCCTCTCCAGTAGGTCCTCACTTGTCCCCTCCCATGCCCCAGTGGCATGTGTCGGGAGGGCGGGCTGCCTGCAGGGCTGTGCGGTGTTCCCCCTGGCTTTAGTGCTCGCCCTGGCACATCCCAAGGGGCCGGGACTCACATGCAGCTGTTAAACTCTGAATAAAAGTCTTTAAACCCCAGGGCTGTGCTCATGGGGGAGCCCCGGGTGGTGGCCCTGGGGCAGACACTCAGGAGGTGGCAGGGGACAGGGATGGCATCCCCACTGCTGAGGCAGCAGTGCCAAGGGCAGTGCGGGGCTCCTGCCAAGGACGTGTCCGTCATCCCCGTGATGCCGTCAGCCGGGAAGCGTCCGTGTCCGGAGACTTTCAGGAGAGGTTAGTGCTCCCCGTGCCGATACCTGGCGGCTGTGACGCTGATGGAGATGCATCCCGACAGCCCGGCATGATGCTGCTGCACTGCCAAGAAAACAGCACCTGCCTTCATCAGGGCCCCAGGGACCAACCGCGGCTCCTCACGGGGTGACCTGTGTCCCCACCGCGGCCTCTGGGGACCAGCAGCCCTCACCCCCACAGCTGCAGCCCCGTGCAGAGAAGTCGTGGAGGGGCTCATCCTGGCTGTATTTGTGCACCACAGGACCTTTCTCCAGGGGGATCCAGGTGTTTCTGCTTCCAGACAGTGAACGGGGGAAGGGACTTGCCCGAGTCACTGGTGTAACGATAGCGAGCGTCAGAGGGCTCCACAGACACAGCACGGGGCAGGTAACCTGCCTGGGGGGGACTCCTGCCCAGACACCACATCTCCTGTGAGCCGGGGGGCTGCTGGCAGAGCTGGGCATGGCTGCCCAGCTGGATGTTTTTCTCTCTGTGAAGGCTGCGTGGCTCAGAGAAGGTTCTCGGCTGGTTCGCATTGCATGGTGCTGTTTGGGAGAACATAAATACCCTCGCAATGACCCCGTAAAGAAAAGTGAGCTTTGTGCTGACATTGCTGACCTGTCTCCAGACAAATCCTGCCCTTTATTTGTCCAGATATGTGGTTCTTCAAATGTAAACTCAGCCCTTGCCATCAGCCTGAAAAGCGTGCTGCCTCCCATCTGCTCAATGGCTCCGAAGCTGGGTGCACAGACTTGGAGGTACATCAGCCCTGGGGGACGAGGGGCAGGACACAGGGGCACCCATGCCCTGTGTCTCAGCCCGCAGGCAGCGCGGGCCCCCTGCCCCACTCCCTGCCCATCCTCAAAGACCCCGTGTGCCTTTCGGCTGCAGCTCGCCCCTCTCGGTGTAGCTGAGCCCCACCACTCGCCACCCCCTCACCTGTGCATCCCCCTCCAGTACACGTCAGAGCTGACTGACATGCCTTTAAAAATAACTCCTTGGTGGGACAAGGCCAAGACACAGACAGGGGTGAGCGCTCTTGGTGGGACAAGACAGTGCCACAAAGTCCCAGCTGAGCAGCCGCTCTGGGTCGCCGCTTGCCAGGCACACGTCATGAATGCTTTGATGTGGTTTTTAAGCATGTTTGGTCCTGCAGGAAGGAGAGAAAGAGAGCTGGCATCTTTGTCCCCTCCCTGCACTTAGTGCAAATGAAGGGATTAGGAATTATAATCCAAGATTCTTATTTTAAAGCGGCTTTTCAGCTCTGCGAGGGGAACTTCAGTGAGATGTTCCTGGGGGAGCTGGGTGACAGAACAGCTGTCACAGCCCCAGCCACTGCAGGTGGCTTTGGGCAGCCAAAGCTTAGTGGTGCCTTCTGGGCTCCAGCAGCGGCTGCGTGGGGGTGACATTTTGGCAGGGAGGAGGGTGGGGGGTGGAGGGTGCTCTGCAGCTCAGGGTACAGGGGGTGTCCCATGGCTGGGCACCCGCCTTGGCACCGCAGATTGTGTCTGAGTGTTGGGCAGGCGCTGCCATTGGGCTGCACCAGTGGATTTTCAGGTGCTCCTGGATGTTTTGAGCTTTGAAAAGAAAGAGGGGTCTGTTTCTGCCCAGTGGGGTGCCACGTGCACCCAGCTCCCCTGGGGGTTGCCCCCCTCCCTGGCAGCACCACAGACCCCAGGACGCTCCCCCAGATGTGGGGACTCCTCTGCAAGGCAGAGCCCCGGGATCTGAGAGAGATCGGCTGCTGCCAGTCCCCCGTGGCAGCTTCTGCTCCTGGGAAGCCAAGTGCCGAATTCCACCATCCCAAAGCATCCTGCAGCCCCTGGGAGTCTTCTGCCCCACACCGCCGGCAGCATCTGCCCTGGTGAGGCACTGGGATCTTTCCTCTTCCGAAATTCCTCCCCCTGCTCCTTCCTCCCACTGTGTTCGTGGCAGACCTGTGCAAAATGTTAGCAAACTGCTGGGTTTTTTTTTCACTGGCGTATCTGTTGCCTTTCCCTCTGTTAATTATTATAACAGTGCCTCTTCTAGGGCAAGTTGACAGATGGCCAGGGTTTTATCTTTGAACAAGTTATTTAATAAGGGCTCATGCTTTTCCCTTGCACATTTCTTTCCTGGCTGCATGTCTGAGCTGCTAGATGGGTTGTCCTTTTCACTGGGGATGCCAGATGTGAAGGCTTAGATCAGATGCCAGAGGACAGGTTTTTTCTTTTCCTTTAGAAAGGGAAGATTCTGCCCAGGTTCATGTGGCCCTCACCGAGCAACGCTCTCCCTCCCTGCAAAAAGACACGATGGAGAACCGGTCCCCACAAGGAGGTGAGAAGGGCTGTGTCAAATGCTGGGTCCTACAGGGCAAATCCTAAGTGCATGGAAAACCGATGGAAGTGCTGAAACCAGCACGCTGCCTGCTCACGCCAGCTGAAATCCATCTCACAGGGATCGACCTGTGCTCTGGCTCACGCTGCCTTCGGCTGCGTGGCTTTGCTGTGGCCCACTGGCAGCAAAGGAGGTAATTCCTTCTGCAGGCGGAGGGTCACAGGCTGTGCCTGGGAAGACACGGAGAGCTAATGGTGGCAGGGATCGGCTGGTCAGGAAGTGGGGGCTGCCCTGGATGCACCGCAGAGCCGCGTGTGACATTTGCTGATGCCAACTGGTGACTGCTGGTCTGCCTGAGCCGTTGGACTTGAAAGCCACATGGCTGAAGTCTGAGAAAAAAATCTCACCAGGCCACAGCAGCTGGGATCTTGTCCTTACTGGGGCAGAAGCAGCTCTCAAGTGTGGGGGAGCTGAGTGGGGTGGGCAGCTCCTGCAGCTGGCACGTGGGCACAGGGAGGGCTCATTGCATCCTCCTGCCCTGCTGTGCCCAACGGATGCCCTGGGTTTTGTTCCAGAAAGCTCAAGGTGGGATTTCCCCCCACTGTTTCTGTCTCCTGGGATCTAAAGGGGGATGTACAAGGACCCAAACCCTTCTGGACCTGCTCCAGGAGCAAGGGGAAAGCTTCCCTTTGCATGAAAGCGAAGACCAGGGAAACAGGAGGAGGCTCTGGGCACCAGGCACCTTGTGGCAATGCCTCAGTGCAGACACCAGCACCAGGCACCAGGTCCTGGCACAGCCAGGCTCATTTCAGTGACTATTTTAGCTGTTTTTTTTTTTTTCAACAGGCTTTCTCTGTACTTGGTTTTCCCAAAGAGTTTTCAAAGCCAAGTGGTTTGAGGACTTGATAATATTAGGACCGAGGTGTTTGGTGGCAGTGTCTGCCCCAGTGAGAAGGTCAGCACGGGTCTGGGCTCCCTGCACGGCAAGGCTGCGGCACTGCTCGCTGTTTTGTTTTCCCCTGCATTTATTTCCCCCTCCCTAGGAAGCTGAAGAGGATTCTTGCAGCTTTTCTTGCCTTTCTCTTGAATAAGTACAACAGCTGTAACATCAGGTGTCCCAGGTCATTCCTATTCCTGCCCGGGCTGCTTGCTCTGGTGGGGAAAAAGCCCTGTTTGGAGCATCTCAGGAGGGCTGGCACCCAGCTAGCTGCTGCCAGAGCCCGGCTGGCAGCCCCCCACGCTGTGCCCTGCCTGCCTGTGCCAGGCTCAGCTGCTTCAGGCCTAGCCAGAGCCAGCTTAGAGATGCCAGCTCAGAATATACGGATTTGTGTTTTCCTGCAGGGAACGCGTTGTCCTCCTTCTCCTCTGCTGCCCAAAATACTCTGCCCCAACTTTTTTTATGAAGTATAACGAATGGCTCATTGCACAAAGGCGGTGAGGGGAGGACGGGGGAAGCGGCGGGAGGCAGGAGGGTGCGGAGGCAGCTGCGGCGGGGGCGTACCAGCGGCGGGACGGTGGCTGTGGGAGGAGTGAGCATCCCGGTGCCGTCGGGCTGCGCATCGTGCGGAGGAGCGTCGGGACACCCCCGGCTGCTGCCAGCGCGGAGCCCTGCAAAGCCGTCGCCTTTCCGGCACACATCGCCCTGGGCTGACCCAGCTCTTGCCCGGCCAGCCATGCAAAGGGCACGGGGTGGCAGTGGGAGGGCAGGAATTCAGCGCCCCGTGGGTGGACACCGGTTTGCAGCAGGGTGTGGGAGGAGGCTGCCCTGTTCTCTCTGATTTAGCATTAGGAAATTTGTGAGAGTAGGACAGAGGGGCCATCAGCGCAGGGAAATCCTGAGCGTGCAGGTGGGAGAGTGGAGAGGGGCAATTGCTCCTGTTGCTAGAGCTGCGTGAGTCCTGTTTGGTCAGCAAGTCTATGAGGACTCGGCATGAGGCTCCGGCACATCTGAGATGGAGCTGAAACATACTGAAAAAATCAAGTCTTCTATAATGGGAGGGAGTAGGAAGGTGTATATGGAATATCAGGATGGGCACATTTCTGTGTCAGGCAGTTAAAATGTTTTTGCTGCTACAGCCTTGGC